CTGAGAAAGGATTATCCTTGGTAGGTTTTTGGTCAACAAAGTGATAGGAACAAACAAAAACGTTGAGGGGTGGTTTCTTTAGATTCAATGCCTTCAGCCAGGTCCTTGATTCCGAGTCGGTATCAGGCTTGCGAAAAAATGTAAACAATGGAGCGCATGGACATTGCCTCTTCGTAGCTGGTTTGTGGTTGTAGCACTCTCTATCTAACCACTCGTTCAGGTGCTTTCTCAAGTTTTTGCAACCAACTACCGCACACGTCGTTCCCGAACCACTTTTCTTCATGTTGTAATTGTAATTTTTATATCCTCTTTGTCACTGCGATATCAGTGCTTTGTCGGCACAACGGAGCTAGCTAGCAAAACAAACCCAGCCCGGCAGAACGGAAGTGGATTGCATCGACGGGAGGAGTTCAGGAAGTAGAGCGGAAACGGCTCAAAAACTTGTGTATAGGACATGGGGGAAATCGGAAGAGTAGGGGGAGTCGGAGGAGAAATGTCGTCCCTAGACAAGGCAAGAACTTGATGTATGTCAGGAGAAGTGCAGTAGTATCATAAGGAGAGTTATACTTGGAATGCGGAGGAGGAATGGAGGGGAAAAGAGAGGCAGAGGAGGTCTAAGAGAGAGAGGGAGGTAGAGGGTGAGCTTGAGTCAGTTAAAAATGGCGGAAAAAAGGGAGATGGTTTGTTAAAGAAGAATGGTAGAAAGTGTAAACAAAGTGAGTTGAAAACAGGAGGAGAAATGGAAGTGAATGAGGGCGAAGTATTGGAGGTGGTAGGTGTGGTGAAGTTCTCGGAGCCCGAGGTTTGCACCGAGGGTCAGGATAAAGATGAGTCTGTGACAGTAGCAGTGAAGTTTTTGGAGAAAATGGAACCTTGCCTTTTGGCTGATCCATTTATGGTTTCAGGGTGGGTGAAAACAGAGTTGGGTGCTGTGAAATCGGTGAGGGTAACCAGAAGGGGTCTAGTGATCATTGTTTATGTTTCTGCTGGTCAGAGGGAGCAGGCGCTCCGTGTTAAACAAATGGGGGCAAGAAACGTGAATTGTTTTGCTCTCAAGAAAAGGGCGCCATTGAAAGGTGTGATTACTGGGGTAGGGGTAAATGTGAAAGCTTACCAACTGAAGGGAAGATTCCCGGTGTTTGTGATGCTCGTCGTTTGGTGTGACGCAGACAGGGTGGCGTGAGTGGAGAAACAGAAGAGTTATTGTCTGTTCTTTTGAGTTTTGATCTTGAGTCTTTGCCCGACAAAGTGATGTTAGGATATATAAGTTATCCGGTATTAGCTTTTGTGCCGAATACATTACGTTGTTACAGGTGTCAAGCTTATGGGCATGTGGCAGCAGTGTGTAGGAGGGAGGTTCCTAGGTGTGAGAAGTGTACAGAAGGGCATGAGACAAAGGAATGTGTAGCATTGGGGAAAGTAGTGTTCATTGTAGGGGTGCCCATGGGGCTGGGGATCAGAAATGTCCGGTGCCAGAGAGGCAGGTTGAGGTTTCCAGGGTTAAAGTAGTGCAGAAGTTGTCAAATGCTGAGGCAGTGAAGAAAGTAGAGGGAGATGGGTCAAGGGGGAGGGATCCTGAGAGGAGTGAGTAGTAGAGATGTACCAGTACAGAGGGATAAACCAACAAGTGATATATCTTTCAGTAAGATTGGATTTTTGGCATTTATAGCAATGGTTATCAACTCTACTGCAGGGGTGGAACGTAAGTCGCAGAATATAGAGGTTGTGGTTGCAGCTGCAGAGAGGTATTTGGGTGTGCAAGACTTGACATCAGAAGAGTTACAGGGTGTGTTAAGTGGTGGTGTCCCATGCCTTCAGGCTGTTGGCCTGAAGTAGGAATACATTGATTTAAATAGTGGAGTATGGTAGTTATAATTATTATGTATTTTTTTTGTGTAGTATTAGATGGTAGGGTTAAAAAATAAAATAAAATAAGGGAGTTATACTCCAGTCTAGTAGGTGGCGGTAATGCAACATTTATTGGATGCCAACTGCCGTTGAACCTCATCGAAGAAGAAGTAATGCGCTGCTGTTTGACTGACCCTGTCCACATGTGATAATTGTGGCGACAACCAAAAGTTGTCATATGCATTGAATTCAAACTATTTCTTATTGATTGAACAACCAATTGCGAACGCAATTATGAAATCAACAGTTGTGGAGTAGGTAAGTTACCTTGTGTACTTTTTCTTCTTTGGCATTTGGGGCAATGGCAGCTAGAAGTAGCTGGCTAGCTAGCACATACTTTGCCTAATAAATGACTTTTATATAAATACTTGATATATAGTCTGAAACATAGTGTCGAGATTGCGTAATTCAAATCTGGTATTGGAATAAGAATCAAGAGATCTTCAATCCAAGCTTAATTTATTATATGCAAAATGTATTGTATGATAAGTATGAAGGTTCGTATACGGGCTCACTGTCAAACCACGCAGGGCCGACAGAGAACTAAGAATCTGTTTTCAGATTCTTTCTCAAATACTCTGACAGAAAGCAGTCCCTTCTTCTGTTGGCCAACCAGAGCAAAGGACTGAGTGTGGTTCAGCCAATCCGTTGGCGCAGGGGTTGGTCTCAACTCCTTGGCATTCCAGTTGTTGCCAGGCTTGGTTGCTATGATAATAACCTGCAGAGCCAGCACCCAGAAAGACATCCTCCCACTGTACTCCATGTTCAAGGACAGTTTCACAGAATACAAAGAGGCAGTGAGGTCTAGTACTTTGAGACACAAGTTCTTATCTCCCCTTACTCCCTAAAACAGCTCCTCACATTAATCACAGCTTGCCAAGTGAAACAATCTACATCAATGCATTCCTTCCAAGGTAGTCATCTCATACAGATCCAATTATGAGAAAAATAAAACCCAACAATTGCAATGTAAAATCGTCAAGTTTTCCTTACAAGCCAGAATGTTCAATGCAATTACATTTGACCTTACTTTGCTGGTGCGTTTGGTATTTCAACTCTATGACATTTGAGACAAAATATCGATAGGAAAGTATAGTTTACCTGACTTTTTAGAGCATAGGTACTGCCTTTGAAATGTATATCACATGCACCAAACCATGTAAACACCTGCAGACTGCGGTTACATGCATGTAGTTCCGTCTTGTGCACGTGCCTATGGTCACAAACAAACAAATATTGATTGCCACACACAGAGACCCGCATTTTGAAGTCGGGTTAATAACACTTTCCTGTGCATATTTTGTCTCAAATTTCGACCAACCTCACGGACAATCGGCAGAGTAAGTTCAAATGAAGTTTATTCAACAATCTTACTTGTAAAGGACTGGTTAGGATTTTTTTTACATAAACGTGTGTGGCGTTGCCTACATCATATCGGCATGTTTGTTCCTAATGTGTACTGTAAAAACATTTACATTTTAGTCATTTAGCAGACGCTCTTATCCAGATCGACTTACAGTTAGTGAGTGCATACATTTTCATACTGGCCCCCCGTGGGAAACGAACCCACAACCCTGGTGTTGCAAGCGCCATGCTCTACCAACTGAGCTACAGGGATCCCTATCCCACAACGTGTGGCTAATGGTAACAGTATCTAGCTAGTCTAGTCTATATAACTGTTTGCTGAATATTAAATACAGGAGCTAGCTTTAGTATTTGAAAGGCTGTTGGAATTTGGGTTATGACCATATTCAGTGGTGTAAAGAGAACACTTATCAAGAGAACTCCTCTGGTCAACCTTATTGCCTCTGATCTGGCGGACTCATTGCACACATGCTTTGTTTGTTAATTATGTCTGAGTGTTGGAGTGTGCCCCTGGCTATCTGTAAACAAAAAAAATAACAAGAAAATGGTGCCATTTGCTTCATATAAGGAATTTATAAATGATTTTTTAAATTACATTTACTTTTGATACTTAAGTATATTTAAAATCAAATACTTTTACTTGAGTAGAATTTTACTGGGTGACTTTAAACTTTTACTTGAGTCATTTTCTATTAAGGTATCTTTACTTTTAGTCGCCTATGACAATTGGGTACTTTTTCCACCACTGACCATATTAACCATGCATTGCCTTTCAAATCCTAGCTTGATACAAACAGCTAACAGCATGGTCTCATAGACTAGACATAACATAGTAAACGAAAATCCAGGACACTCAAATTAGTGAGATACATTTACATTTTAGTCATTTAGCAGACGCTCTTATCCAGAGCGACTTACAGTTAGTGAATACATTTTTTTAGTTTTTATTATATGTTACATTTGGTATGGTTACATAAGACAGAAGGTTACTTAAGGCAAAAACAAAAGGAGTGTGGCTGGTTGGGCATATAACGCGAATGTCTAGCAACCCAAAGGTTCAAATCTCATCATGGGCAACTTTAGCATTTTAGCTAATTAGCAACTTTACAACTACTTACTACTTTTTAGCTACTTTGCATCTACTCAACATGTTAGCTAACCCTTCCTGTAACCTTAACCCTTTAACCTCTTATGCTAACCTTAAATAATATTGCAATATTGTCAAAACTATACAATATTTTTTTAAATAATATCCCGATATGTAACTATCGATTTCCCCCCCCCCCCAATCACTATACCATACCAAATGTAATATGTCATACTATTTGAGTGTCCCGTTTACCATGTTACGTCTAGCCCTTAGTCCAGGTTGGACTGGACTCAACTCAACGATTTAAGATGAAGTTGAGCAGCGACTAGTGTGGGCAGACTGGAGATCCAACTTCACATAACTACGTCTTTATCAACAATGACAGATTTCAACACCCAAAGAATAGCACGCAATTACACAGTCTTGTGTAATTTCTGAAATCTGTAGTTTTTGATAAATTCCATGTTATGGGACGTCGGAGCTCCAGTCCACCCACACTAGTCGCCACTCACCTTCATCGTAAATCGTGAAGTTGAGTTTAGTCGGCTAGTTAGCTAGCTTGCTATATTTTCCACCACAACGTAATCAATATGTGTGTTGTATTAATCTTACACATCATGTTTCTCACATTTTAAAGATGGAGCAATTTGAGTCTTCCCACAGTGAGGAAGAGGAAGATAAGGGCCCGACCAGGGCCAAAAGGGGTAAGCCCGAGGTGGTCCAGGAAGAGGACGGGTTCCTCCGTCCCGTGGTGATCTGTACAAACCTCCCACCGCGGAGGAACTGAACCAGCTGAAGGAGGCGGAGAGCCTGTTCCACTGCAGCCTGCTCAAGATGCAGGTGAAACCAGGGTTATAGTTGGGTGGGAGTCATGGTTTTTATGTGTGTTCAGGCATGCATGATCAAATCAAATGTTATCCGTCACATACACAGTTTACAGTTGCTATAAAAGTGAAATGCTTGCGTGCTAGCTCCCTCAACATTTCAGTACAATATCAATGATAATCAAGTCAATCAAAAATAACAAGTCCTTAAATTAACGTAGTATGCACAGTATAAATTATGAATGTTCTATATCAAGTATGACTTTGTTACAAATAGAAAGATATTGTCTTGGTCGCACAGTTGAATAAATATTATATAATAGAACAGCAGCGTTAACTGTGTGTGCTTGTGTGTAAGGGTTTGATGTGTAGAGACTGTGAAAACAGTTGTACATGCATGTATTTACGCACAGCAGCGAATTTAGGGTCACTGCAACATGACAGCTACCTCAATGGTTCTATGCATATACATGTGTTTGGCCTCGTTTTAGATTTGGTTCATTATGAAATTCTAGCTGCCATGACTGAATTCAAACGTAAGTTGGTTTCGGGGTGTGGTTTGATGTGGGTGTCTCTTGTGTGTTCGCAGGTGGTAAGAGTTAGCCAAAATATTTAGCCAATTAGCTTCAGCCGACTAGTGTGCGACCGTGGCAAAGTTGGGTTGACTTTGGATAGCCCATCTCGGTCTAGTTATGGACCGTCAATAAATTGCACTATGTAAATTAGACTATTTTAGTTTGCTTATTAAATGCTTTCAATATTTGTATTTTAATTTCTACAGTTTATAGTTGGTGAGGTTAAGTCATAGAAATTTGAGCTATTGGAGTTTTTACATATTGTCCCATGTATATTGTGTAATTTATTGATGGCCCCTAACTAGCCCCATAGGGATATCCAAAGTCAACCCAAATTTACCACGGGCATTGCGATTGGGTCGTGTGCCTCTGCACTCCAAATTGATGATTACTTGTGTGCTGCCAGCTGTGGGCAGGATTCAAACAAACCCAAGCTTCCCAAAAGTCACGACCACAAGTCTCACAAAAATAATAAATGTTTCTGACTCATATCGATGCCACATAGGCTGTTTTCTAAATGAGAAGTTGTTTGTTAGGGGCAGTAACTCTTTAATCTCCATCTTGTCTCTTTACCAATGCCAACAGATGGAGGAGCTGCTGAAGGAGGTTGTCTTGAGTGAGCGCAGGAAGCATCTGATCGACTCTTTTGTCCAGAGAGTTACTGAGCAGCTCCACACTGTACCACAGACTCCTGAGGTGGAGGTATGTTAGTGACAGTGTGTTCAGGGGATTAGAAATAATGGTAACTTGTTGTATTTGGTCTTAACTCTGTGACTTCCATAAATGTGTTTCAATTCCAATCATCTCTCTTCTCTTTCTCCAGCTGAGTGACCTGTCATGGTTGTTAGGAGGAGTGAAGGTCCCCTTTCTCCTGGTGCCAAAGGCAGCCAAGGGCAAGTTCCACATGGCACCCCCCATCTCCGTTACCGTCATGGGCAGCTACCCACTGGGCACTTGCACCAAACCAGCCATCTCAGTCGATCTGGCAGTCACTATTCCTGCGGTACGTAACACCACACTATTCACTTTGAAACATGGCAGTCATAATTCGATCATACAACAATAATAACATGCGTCTATTCATGTTTTCCTTCCAGGATGTCCTGCACCCTAAAGATGCCCTAAACCAGAGGTACCCACGGAAGAGGGCACTTTACCTGGCAGGTAAATCTTGCCTCGTCTCCTGCCTTTGGGACCATGCGGTATTCATGTCTCCATGGCAACCGTCTCCGCCCCCTCCTGTCGCTTACCCCTCCAGGTACCAAGCAACATACTGTAGTACTACACTGTAGCATCTCTTACAGAAGGGTGGGATAGGAACGGTGCCATGTCATGTAGTCTATTTTACTGTTTTCCTTAACTCAAAGTCTAGGTTTGTTGGATTTTGCATGCTTGTTAGCAAGTACCTACTCAGTTAATTGGTTGTGTGTCAATGATGATTCAATGATATGACCCCTTCTCCAGGGAAACACTCCTCCAGCTTCATCTTGAGGCTCCACCCCTGCCCCCCTCCTGGCTTCTTCAAGCCCAGCCGCTTCCACCCCCAGAGGAGCAACATCCGCACTGACTGGTACACTGGCTTGGAGAGCTCTCGACCAGGTGAGGGGCTCTACCCAAAGCCAAGCAACTTCGGTATATATTGTTTCCTGATACAGTTCCATAATGATCTGGAACGTTAATGTAAACAGATAGTTATGGGATGAAAGCTCCTTGTTGGGGAGATGGTACACTGACCTGAATTATACAAGCGGTGCACTGGAGAGATACTTTACATTAAAATCAGACTAAAGTATACATTCTCACCGATTCCTTTTCTGTGTGTTTGTGTAGATACGAGTGAGCCGCCCACTCCCCATTACAACAGCTCTAATCTGGGGGACATGCTCCCCAGGGCCCACCTGCAGTTCCTGACCGCTGTGAGCTCCCAGTGCACTGCCTTTGTAGAGGGAGTGGCCCTGCTCAAAGTGTGGCTCAGACAGAGGGAACTGGACCAGGTATGGGCCCCTGCGCCATCCGCTCCCTCTATCAACACTGTTTTACCAGGCTGAACCCAGCTCTTACACTACTCTCTCTCTCCTCCCGTGCTCGTCCTCAGGGCGCAGGGTGTTTCAGTGGTTTCCTAGGCTCCATGTTGCTGGCCTACCTCCTCTCCTCCCACAGAGTCAGCAACACCATGACCGCCTACCAGCTGCTCCGCAACAGCCTGCACTTCCTGGGTAAGACGCATGAGGTCTCATAACCTACCTGACTGTCTGTTTGCTCCTACTGTTGGAGTAACACCGCATGTACCGTAAATACTGTGCCAGACTAACAGGAAGAAACAAAACAAGAAGGAAAAGAGGTTGATGTGTCAGTGTATAAGTGAGCCTGTGTGTGTGTGTGTGGGGGGGAGAGAGGGTGGGGTTGGAGAGAGGGGGTGGGGTGGGGTCTTAACAGTAGGCCAGGGTGAAGTGGTGGGGCTTTAGGAGGGAGTGAAAGATGGTGATGGACTCTGAGTCACGGATGGCTAGAGGGAGGGAGTTCCAGAGCCTTGGAGAAACCCTGGAGAAGGCCCTGTTGCTGATGCTCTGAAGGTTAGACCTGGGAACAGCAAGGTGGCCTGCTGTGGTGGAACGGAGTGAGCTTGTGGGTTGGTAGGGGAGAAGAAGGTCAGAGAGGTAAGAGGGGGCAAGGTGGTGGAGAGCTTTGTAGGTCAGTAGGAGGATCTTGTAGTTGATGCGGTGGGAGACAGGGAGCCAGTGGAGTTCACCTAGGATGGGTTTGATGTGCTGCCAGATCTTAGTGTGGTCATATCATTGTTGCTATACGTTTTCTTCCCTCATTTGTCATCCCTCTCTTCTCAATCTCAGCTTCCACCGACCTGACGGAGAATGGAATTACCCTAGCTAAAGACCCAGATTCAACAGGGGGGGGGGATGAGTGTTGTTCAATTTCTACATTATGGATCACAATCACATTTTCTTCCCCTTTTCCCTTGTTTTCTTCCTTTCTTTCCCTCCCTCAGCCCTCTCTCGCCGAGTTCCACAGTGCTTTCCAGGTTGTGTTTGTTGACCCCTCTGGACACCTCAAACAGGTGAGGTGCACGGACATGACTGGCTGCACTTACAAACAGGTGAGCGCCCTGAGCCAAGATGGCTTGAGATTGGCTGGTTGGCAGTAACGTTTCCTCTGATTGGTTAACTGTACCCTATTTGGCTCTCAGGTGCAGTACGAGGCGTCGCTGTCGCTGCAGTTTTGGGACGATCCCACTGTGGATGGATTCCACGCCCTACTCATGACCCCCAAACCCATGATCAGGACCAGTGACCATGTCTTCCAGTAAGTACGTTGTTCAGACACACACACTTCCACACATGTATTGTTCTCTCCTCTTATTTATAAACTTCCTTTATATTTTCTCATTTATTTATATATATTTTTTTCTCTCCTGTGTCGGTCATCAGGCTGTGGGAGCGGGTGAAACTGCAGTCCTGCTGTAAGAAGTTCGACCTCCTCAGTGAACTCATGGACCACAGTGGAAACTATGTCCTCACTGCGCTCCCCTTTATCCTCTCCCTCCTGCAACGAGGACTAGGCCAAAGGGTCCGCCTCCTCACCCATTCCCTGACCCCTGACCCTGAGGTGAGCATTCTCCTGCCTTTGGTTTCGCCTCACAATACTGTACATGTTAAACAATACTGAATAGGTTGTGTGTTTGTGTGTTAAATGTCCCAGTGTCAGGTTGTGCGTGTGTAATGTAGGGCTGTTGACTGGAACAGACCGATCCAGTACGTTTAGAGAGAACTGTTTACTTGATAGAATTCTGAGTGGGTATTCTGGCCGATGTGTGTGACAGTGTACGTTTTCTATGACAGTGGTCGGTGGAGAGTGAAGCTCTGGAGCACAAGGCCCAGCCACCCCTGTCCTTTTGGCCTGCTGCTCAAACCAGAACAGGCGGCCTCTGTCCTGGAGAGAGGACCCCCGGCTGACAGCCCCAAGGTCTGTGTGCGTGCTAGTGTTTCTTAAAATGTGTCTCTGCTGTGTGTCATTCTCACCGCTGTATGTGTGCAGGCTGAGGAGTTCAAGCAGCTGTGGGGGGTCTCGCTCTGAGCTGCGTCCTTTCCAGGACGGGGCCATCAATGAGGCGTTGGTGTGGGAGGGAGAGCCCACCTGTCAAAAGAGACTGGTCCCACGCCAGGTCATCGCACACCTGCTGCAGCTGTACGTACCTCAACTCCTAACCACTGATCTAGGATCAGATCACCCTACCCCCAATTCTAACCTTAACCATTAGGGGGATAAAACAATCTGACCCTGTGTCAGTGGTTAGGGGCAGCTACGCTCTCCTAGGCTAGAGGGAAGGGGGAGGCAGTGTGTTGTGGAAATGCTATTCATCAACATTTCTGCATCTGCACTTTTTGAATGGAATGCCTCTTTGGTAAATATGAAAAATGTATGCACTCACTAACTGTAAGTCGCTCTGGATAAGAGCGTCTGCTACCATCTCTGCCTTGTACGATGTACTGTTAGTTTAAATGTTGAAGTTTTATTAGCCGTATGGACGGGATACACATGGTATACACCATCCAACGAAATGCTTACTTGTAGGTTCCTTCTCAACAATGCAACAACAATGAAATAAATTATAAAAGATAAGAATACGAACATAAAGTAAATGGTACAATAGAACAAACATTTTAGCAGAAGTATAATACAGGATTTCACAATTTGTAGTCTAATATTTATACATGTTTTGGGGAATGGGGGTTTGGGGGGGGCAAGTGTTTTAAATTGTGCAGTATTTAGCAATCAAAATAAGAGTCTGGTAGCAGCAGTTGTAATGTGTGTATAGGGCTGTGGCGGTCATGACATTTTGTCAGCCAGTGATTGTCATGCAAATAACTGCCGGACTCATGGTAATTTACCATTAATTAACATAAACAAGTTTAGCAATTCAGGCTTCCACGCATAGCCTACAAGCCACTGATGTGGACCTTTGGAACATCTACATTTAAAAAGTATAATAAATCAATTTAATATAGCCTACACTATCACAATAAATCCATTATTTTAGTCAGGTCTAAAGAAACATTATGATATGAAATGTAGCCTATTTCAGAACAGAATAGCATATTCTGAGTCGTCCTTATGTTAGGCCCTGATCTGGCTATGCCATATGGCTGTGAGCTACAGTAGTTTTATTTAGGGGACAAAATTTGCTTATGATTCCTGTAGCATTCTTTTATAGAAACGACAATACAATTGAACATAGCTGAATTAGATGAAACAATATTTTTCCCAAACGATTTCAGAGGGATTGCGGACATGGCATATTATATTATATTATGCAGCTATTCTGTGTTGAGCGGTTAACAAAGAAACAGGTCCTCTTACTGTGCATTCGGAAAGTATTTTTCCCCCACATTTTGTTAAGTTACAGCCTTATTCTAAAAGGGATTAAAGTAATGTTTTCCCTCATCAATCTACACACAATACCCCATAATGACAAAGCAAAAACAGATTTTTGGAAATGTTTGCAAAAACAGAACTATCGCATTTACATAAGACTCTTTACTCAGCACTTTGTTGAAGCACCTTTGGAAGCGATTACAGCTTATTGGGTATGACGCTACAAGCTTGGCACACCTGTATTTGGGGGGTTTCTACCTTCTCTGCAGATCCTCTCAAGCTCTGTCAGGTTGGATGGGGAGCGTCGCTGCACAGCTGTTTTCAGGTCTCTCCAGAGAGGTTTGATCGGGTTCAAGTCCGGGCTCTGGCTGGGCCACTCAAGCACATTCAGAGACTTGTCCCGAAGCCACTCCTGCGTTTTCTTGGCTGTGTGCTTAGGGTCATTGTCCTGTTGGAAGGTGAACCTTCACCCCAGTCTGAGGTCCTGAGCGCTCTGGAGCAGGTTTTCATCAAGGATCTCTCTGTACTTTGCTCCGTTCATCTTTCCGTCGATCCTGACTAGTCTCCCAGTCCCTGCCGCTGAAAAACATCCCCACAGCATGATGCTGCCACCCCCATGCTTCACCGTAGGGATGGTGCCAGGTTTCCTCCAGAGGTGATGTTTGGCATTCAGGCCAAATAGTTCAATCTTGCTTTCATCAGATCAGACAATCTTGTTTCTCATGGTCTGAGAGTCCTTTAGGTGCCTTTTAGCAAACTCCAAGTGGGCTGTCATTTGCCTTTTACTAAGGAGTGGCTTCCGTCTGGCCACTCTACCATAAAGGCCTGATTGGTGCAGTGCTGCATAAATGGTTGTCCTTCTGGAAGGTTCTCCCATCTCCACAGAGGAACTCTGGAGTTCTGTCAGAGTGACCATCGGGTTCTTGGTTACCTCCCTGACCAAGGCCCTTCTCTCCCGATTGCTTAGTTTGGCCGGGTGCCAGCTCTAGGAAGAGTCTTGGTGGTTCCAAACTTCTTCCATTTAAGAATGATAGAGGCCACTGTGTTCTTGGGGACCTTCAATGCTGCAGAAATGTTTTGGTACCCTTCCCCAGATCTGTGCCTCGACACAATCCTGTCTCTGAGCTCTACGGACAATTCCTTCGACCTCATGGCTTGGTTTTTGCTCTGACATGCACTGTCAACTGTGGGACCTTATATAGACTGGTGTATGCCTTTCCAAATTATGTCCAATCAATTGAATTTACCACAGGTGGACTCCAATCAAGTTGTAGAAACATCTCAAGGATGATCAATGGAAACAGGATGCACCTGAGCTCAATTTCACGTTTCATAGCAAAGGGTCTGAATACTTATGTAAATAAGGTATTTCTGTTTTAGGTTTAATACATTTGCAAACATTTCTAAAAACCTGTTCTCGCTTTGTCATTGTGGGGTATTGTGTGTAGATTAATGAGGGGAAACATTCATTTAATCCCTTTTAGAATAAGGCTGTAACGTAACAAAATGTGGAAAAGGGAAGGGTTCTGAATACTGCACGCTTAACGTAGAGTAATTTATGCAACTTTAGTTGTGATACAAACGTTAGACTATATGTTTAGATTTTTAATACATTCTAAGGCTGCATAATGCGACTAATGATTTGATAAAAGTCGCATGAAAGGCAAGCGCTCTGCTCTGTTTCTTGCGCAGGCTGCACACACTTCATTCACAATATGACAAGCACTTGATTATATTCTCACCCATTAGACTAGTCTCAATTTAATCTGGTCTTTACATATAGCCTACTAATATGTGTGGAATGTTTGTTTTATTTAGAATTGCGTCATGTCTGGAATAGCAAATGGAGGTTACGTGCAGTTACGTTTTTAATATGCCAGGTAGGCTACACTGCTTGTAAAGCGGATTAATGTGTTTAATTTTAATAACTGAGCAATAAATATAGCAGCACGACAAGGCTGGTATCCTCTTTAAATAGTGGGCAGTCAAAATTCTGTTTTCACACGTGATTACGCAATGACTGGGTTTATAAGAACACATGTTTCACTAGGCTCTGTAGGCTATTGGCTCTGTAACCTTGTTCCACGGGTCTTGGACCTATAGGCTACGTTTTGGAGTTATTTGGCCACTTTAGTTGTGATATAAACCTTATCAAAACATGTATGCCTATGGGCTAGGCTACATGATGCATGCGACTATGATTTGAAAAAGTTTCTTTCTGGGCATCATTCACAGGTGATCATATTCTCACCCATCAGACTATTCGCAATTTAATCTTGTCTTTACATACACTAAATAATATGTGTGAAATTTAGTTTTTTGATTTACAATGGCCATTATCATGCACCTGTTGGAACAGGGGCAGGGTAAAAAAAGACATGTCATCCATATGCACTTGAATAGTGAATGGAGGACGCTTTTCCTGCTTTTCATTTTGATGCCTGCCAGGTAGGCTACTCAGATTGTAAAATGAAGTAATGTGCATAATATTAGGAACGTTCAGAAATATACACACACACAGTGAGGGGGAAAAAAGTATTTGATCCCCTGCTGATTTTTTACGTTTGATAACTGACAAAGAAATGATCAGTCTATCATTTTAATGGTCGGTTTATTTGAACAGTGAGAGACAGAATAGCAACAAAAAAATCCAGAAAAACGCATGTCAAAAATATTATAAATTGATTTGCATTTGAATGAGGGAAATAAGTATTTCACCCCCTCTCAATCAGAAAGATTTCTGGCTCCCAGGTGTCTTTTTATTTTGGTAACGAGCTGAGATTAGGAGCACACTCTTAAAGGGAGTGCTCCTAATCTCAGTTTGTTACCTGTATAAAAGACACCTGTCCACAGAAGCAATCAATCAATCAGATTCCAAACTCCCCACCATGGCCAAGACCAAAGAGCTCTCCAAGGATGTCAGGGACAAGATTGTAGACCTACTCAAGGCTGGAATGGGCTACAAGACCATCGCCAAGCAGCTTGGTGAGAAGGTGACAACAGTTGGTGCGATTATTCGAAAATGGAAGAAACACAAAAGAACTGTCAATCTCCCTCGGCCTGGGGCTCCATGCAAGATCTCGTCTTGTGGAGTTGCAATGATCATGAGAACGGTGAAGAATCAGCCCAGAACTACACGGGAGAATCTTGTCAATGATCTCAAGACAGCTGGGACCATAGTCACCAAGAAAACAATTGGTAACACACTATGCCGTGAAGGACTGAAATCCTGCAGTGCCCGCAAGGTCCCCCTGCTCAAGAAAGCACATATACATGCCTGTTTGAAGTTTGCCAATGAACATCTGAATGATTCAGAGGAGAACTGGGTGAAAGTGTTGTGGTCAGATGAGACCAAAATGGAGCTCTTTGGCATCAACTCAACTCACCGTGTTTGGAGGAGGAGGAATGCTGCCTATGACCCCAAGAACACCATCCCCACCGTCAAACATGGAGGTGGAAACATTATGCTTTGAGGGTGTTTTTCTGCTAAGGGGACAGGACAACTTCACCGCATCAAAGGGACGATGGACGGGGCCATGTACCGTCAAATCTTGGGTGAGAACCTTCCCTCAGCCAGGGCATTGAAAATGGGTCATGGATGGGTATTCCAGCATCACAATGACCCAAAACACACGGCCAAGGCAACAAAGGAGTGGCTCAAGAAGAAGCACATTAAGGTCCTGGAGTGGCCTAGCCAGTCTCCAGACCTTAATCCCATAGAAAATATGTGGAGGGAGCTGAAGATTCGAGTTGCCAAACGTCAGCCTCGAAACCTTAATGACTTGGAGAAGATCTGCAAAGAGGAGTGGGACAAAATCCCTCCTGAGATGTGTGCAAACCTGGTGGCCAACTACAAGAAACGTCTGACCTCTGTGATTGCCAACAAAGGTTTTGCCACCAAGTACTAAGTCATGTTTTGCAGAGGGGTCAAATACTTACTTCCCTCATTAAAATGCAAATCAATTTATAACATTTTTGACATGCGTTTTTCTGGATTTTTTTTGTTATTCTGTCTCACTGTTCAAATAAACCTACCATTTAAAATTATAGACTGATCATTTCTTTGTAAGTGGGCAAACGTACAAAATCAGCAGGGGATCAAATCCTTTTTTCCCTCACTGTATATAGTAGGCCTAGCCTATAGAAAGCTGATGGGATCCTCCTCTTTTTAATAGAGGCCATCAAAACTCTGTTTTCTCACGCAATTGCATAGCCTATAGAAACACTTATTTCATTTCATGAGGAGCTTGCTCTTGCTGCACAACAGGTTATCGTATTCCACTCAAACTCTGAATGCCAGGGCTCTCATGAAGTGTTTGATTTGATTTCAATTGCAAATGCATTGATGTCAGAGTGATTAGAGGGACAATAGAGCGCTGAGTACCGGCCATTAGCAACTGGCAGCAAGTTTGGTAGGCTACTAATGACCATCAGCGGCATCAGAGCACAGTTTTGGAGAAGCGTAGTTACGGTCAAGTGGAATTTGACTGTGGTCATGATTTGTGACTGCCGGTGTGGCAGTAATATGGTCACCGGAACTGCCCTATATGTGTAACATGAATGTGTGTGTAGTTGTATGGGAAGTCCTGTTAGAACCAGGTCTAACAGGCTCCTTTCTCCTCTCCTCAGCCAAGCAGATATACCAGAAACCTGTGTGAGATACATTGGAGGGATGCTGGATGAAGTCATCAAAGTAGGATGTGAGGTAGTTCCGTTTTCTGTAGTAGTGTGTCTTACCAGCAGAGGATGCTGGTGTGTGGTTTGACGACTCCCTCCATCCAAACTATATCTGAAACCAAAAGCTGTGTTTGTGTGTGTTTGTGTTCCCCAGGTGTGCAGCACAGACGAGGAGGAGAGTCTGAAGGTGGTGCAGTCCTATTTTTATTTTTTTACCTGAGCAGGAAGCTGGAGGGGCTGCCTCTGTCCATCACCTCAGTGCAATGGTCCCACCCGGCCCTCCGCTACACCCAGGTAACCCCCCATTTTAGACACTCTCCGGAGTTAAGTTTCCCCTAGGTACAGATCTAGGATCACTTCCCTTCGCCCAATCCTAACCTTAATAGTGGGGGAAATACAAAACGGACCCAGGATCAGCTTTAGACACAATCTACAGGCCTCATCTCCTCTTCAGCTCCATGCAGGAGATGGTCCATAATTTGAATGTTTGTTTTTTGTGCGTTCTTCCTCCATCACACAGGTGTTCTCCCCAGTGCCCCTGAAGCTGGATTACTCGTTCTTTGACAGAGAAAAGTTGTCCCGGTCGCTGGTGCCCCAGGAGGGCAAACCATGCCCTGTGTACATCACGTCTGTCAAAGGTACCTCACACCATGACTTGTCTGCCCCACCAGTGTGTGTGTGTGTTCTTCTGTACTATTCAGACCAAATAGAAATGTGTTGTTGTGGATCCAGTTAAGGTATTTTTTAGTTGTGTGTTTTCTACTATAAGCCCCCCTCTTTGTCACCTCCTATTGTAGTGATCTGCCACATGGAGGGCAGTGGGAAGTGGCCTCATGACCAGGTGGCCATCCGCCACATTAAAGCAGCCTTCCACATCAGCCTGGGAGAACTGTTGACCAAACACCACCGCTACACCTGCCAGCCCAGCCCCACACACCTGGACGTGTGGAAGGTAGGGGCCCTGCTTTCTGTCTGAGGGGGTGGGAGCAGGGCTCGACATTAACACTTGTCCGGGACAAGTAAAAAAAAAATTCTGACAAGAAGAACATAGATTCAAGTTGTCGGCGAATGGACAAGTTAAAATTAATCACAATATTCAACAATTACTCTGCTCAGAACTGGATCAGAGAGGCCAACATTGGAATAATATTCAAATCCATTTTCCATGTACATAAATAAAAAAGCGAAGGTCAAAGTGTAGGTGATATGCATAGACCTGTTGGCTATAGCCTCATGTACAAACCGATGCTGACATGAGGGAGGTGCCAGAAAATGTAGCCAAATGTTAATGAGACTTTTAAATCCATAAATATAGACTAACCGGAGTGTCTTGTGACCATTTGCGCATCGCACATCACCCACCTTGAATCTGAGCAGAGGCGTAAGCATTTTGAAACTATTTAACCATAAACGTAGTTGTTTAAAACCAATTTTATGTAATTGTATGAAGCATGTCTCACAGTACCTTGTTTCAAAGTAGCCTAGCCAAAATACGACCATAAATGTTAAGATAATTATTCACATACCATTGAAAGCAAAAAATGTTTCTCATGTTCTATTTATTTTTTCAAATCTATGTTATTTTATTGTCCAACAGCCAAAGGCACAGTCATAGTCAAATTAGTAGTAACCAATGCTAGCTGACGCATCTTTAGAACTCTCCTATTTCTTCATTTCTAAAACGGCTCGCGTGTGCTGTGCGCTTTTGAGAACTGTGTTTTCACGCTAATTGCATTTTAGAACATTTGCGCGTAGCTTACAGCCATGTGCACATTTCTGAGCTCATAATATTAAGAGAGAGAACTTTATCAACATTTTAAGCGAAATTGTTTGAGCTGCCTCATTGCTATACTTTTTTTGGGGATGTGCAGCAGTTGTATGAATTTTGGATCTGTCGTCCCAGAATTGTCCCAGTCTGTTTTGAACCGTCCTAAACATATATTTTATCGTTACAGGGACTACCTTCCCTGGAGGGAATTATTTTAGACTTAAATAGTATTTGGTTGTAATTGTAATGTTGCAATATTTTAAAAGCTACCAAGGGTGGCCAACCATCCTCCAGGAGAGTCTTTAAAGGGGCCTTGTTGTATTTTGAGACATTTTTGTCTTTCTCTATGGCAAAAAAGATAGTAACGCATTTTATTTAGTAAAGTGGTTCCTTGCATCATACAATGATGTAATAATGGTGTTACAGAACATTTTTGGGGGGGAGGAAAGTGACTTGAGCTTAAAAAAAATTGTCCTACTTGTCCGAAAGAAAAGTGGCTAAAAAAGTTAATGTCAACCACTAAGGTGTGGGTGTATGGTTAGAGGTGATGGTCATTGTTATGTTCATTCATGACTAGTATAGGGAAGCACTCTTATCAGGCACCTTGACTAACTGTGTGTGTGTGTCAAGGATGGCTTGGCGTTCAGGATCCAGGTAGCACACCACCGGGAGCCTCAGGTCCTGAGGGAGAGTGTAAGTCCAGAAGGACTGCTCATTGTCAGGGACAATGAGGAGACTCAAGCCCTGGAGATGGCAAACATGCACCGGCCCCTACTCACCTGCACGGGTCAGACACTAGCTTTACACTGGAGCGCTCCTTCTATCAGCTAACATGAGCTTTACATGTCCTCTCTCCACATCTCTCCCTTTCAGCTAACACTATAATTGTACAATCTCTCTATTGCTCTCTCTCAAATGGACACACACACACACATACACACACATCTTAATATTTATGTGGTTGTGTGTTCTAGGCTCCAGCAACTCCACCCGTGCTTCGGGGCGGTGTGTCGCCTGGCCAAGCGCTGGCTAGGCGCTCAGCTCTTCAACGATGACATCACAGAGGACATTGCTGACCTGCTGGTGGCGTCCCTCTTCCTGCAGCCGGCCCCCTTCACTCCTCCAGGGTAACTAGCCACCTGCATATCAGTCCATCTCTGACCCTTTCCCTCTCTCTCTCGTCTCCTTCATGTACCACATGACTGATACAACCCCCCTCTCTCTCTCCCTCCTTTCTCTCTGTCCGTCTCCCCCTTCTTTCTCTCGTTGTCTCTTGCTCCCTCTCGTCTCGCTCGCTCTCTTGCTTTCTGTCTCCATGTCTCTCTCTCCTCTATCTTTCTCTTCTCTCTCTCCTCTCTCTCTCCATGTCTCTCTCTCTCTTGTTTCTCTCAGGTCTCCTCAGGTGGGTTTCCTTCGCTTCCTTCGACTGGAGAAACAACCCCCTGGTGGTCAACCTCAACAGCCAGCTCACCGGTGAGCACACACAATGTGGCTGTATATTGTATCTTACACAAATATGTTAATTTTATCATATTCGTGCAGCACAAAAAAATACCCCATGGAGTGTTCTCTCTCGCTGACGTGCTTCATATGTAGACTTCCTTTTCCCACTCTCTCTCTCCTACCCTCTGTCCTCATCTGTAGCTGCTGACTTCACAGAGATCAAGAATGAGTTCATCTTCTCCAGAGAGTCTCTGCCTGTCATGTTCATCGCCAACGCCCAAAGACAAGAAGCTGTCAATCTGTACCAATCAGGCTCCGTCTGTACAGGTTAGAACACACAGTACAGTCACCAGTACAGTCATCCAATAGCATTTTATTTGCACAACCCATTGTACACAACATAGTAACAGAAGACTCACAGACAGACTTGAAAGAGAAGAAATGGAATACAAACTTTTCAAATGATTGAACTGTAGTGGACTAACTTTCACATGCTAACGTTTTTAGCATTTCTGACACAAATCCCATACGTTCCAAGATCCCATACGTTCCAAGACGTTCCAAGATGGCGTAGCAGTGCGGTCGCGGTTTTATTCATTGTCCTTGTGTAAATATCCCGTTTCTTGTTTTTTTGTCTATTTTGTATATATTTCTCAATTTTTACTTTTCATTCTTTAACTAAATATACTTTCCTGCAACCCGTCTCACCCAACGTGGAAAGGATTCTATTATTTCTTTATAACTTTCATCAAGAACCTTAAGCTGAAACTAGTGTAGCTGCAACTGAATGGCTACTTGCTATTAGTCACCGTTAGTGTCTTCACCATTGTCCGTGGCCTACACTATCCACCAGCCAGCTCTAGCTCTAGCCTGGACAATTCGTCGGCCAGTCTGCACAGCGTGCTATCGACCCAGAGCTTATTGGACTTTCTGCCGGAATCACTGGACCCTAGCGCCGGATCATCGCAACCAGCTAGCTAGCTGCAACCTGTTGTTGGCTAATTACCATTGCCCTATAGCAAGCACCAGTTAGCCTTGAGCTAGCCTCAGGCCCATCTCCCGGCTATCTACCTCTCTGTCAATATTGCTGTTCACTGGACCTTATGATCACTCAGCTGCACAGCTGATGCCTGCTGGACTGTTCCTTTACACGGTACCCTGTCCTGTTTATTCTGTTTAGCCTCAGCCCAAACGTTATCGCTATTACCAGTTGTTGTCTTAGCTCTCTCTAATAACACCTGTGATTGCTTTATGCCTCTCTCCCATGTCAATTATGCATTGCCTATTGCTGTTTGGGTTAGTTCTTATTATACAATTTCACTGTAGAACCCCTAGTCCCTCTCAAACTGCCTCAAATAGTTCCTTTGTTCCACCCCCCATACACGCCGAGACCGGCTCAATCGGTGCCTCCAGTGATGCTATCTCTTTCATTGTTACCCAACGCTTAGGGTTACCTGAACTGTACTCATATCCTTCCATATCCTTTTCTGTACATAATGCCCTGAATCTTTTCTACAACGCCCGGAGAACTGCCCCCTTTATTCTATGTACCCAACGCACTAGAAGACCAGTTCTTAAAGCCTTTAGTCGTATCCTTATTCTAGTCCTCCTCTGTTCCTCTGGTGATGTAGAGGCTAACCCAGGCCCTGCAGCCCCCAGTATCACTCCTACTCCCCAGGAGCTATCATTTGTTGACTTCTGTAACCGTAAAAGTCTTGGTTTTCTGCACATAAATATCAGAAGCCTCCTTCCTAAGTTTGAGTTATTCACTGCGTTAGCACACTCCGCCAACCCTGATGTTCTAGCAGTGTCTGAATCCTGGCTTAGGAAGGCCACCAAAAATTCTGAAATTTCCATCCCCAACTATAACATTTTCCGTCTAGATAGAACTGCCAAAGGGGGTGGAGTTGCAATCTACTGTAGAGATAGCCTGCAGAGCTCTATCATACTATCCAGGTCTGTGCCCAAACAGTTTGAGCTTCTACTTCTAAAAATCCACCTTTCCAGAAATATTTCTCTCACTGTTGCCGCTTGCTACAGACCCCCCTCAGCCCCCAGCTGTGCCCTGGACACCATATGTGAATTGATTGCCCCCCATCTATCCTCAGAGTTCGTACTGCTTGGTGACCTAAATTGGGATATGCTTAACACCCCGGCCATCCTACAATCTAAACTAGATGCCCTCAATCTCACACAAATTATCAACGAACTTACCAGGTACAACCCTAAATCCGTAAACATGGGTACCCTCATAGATATCATCCTGACTAACTTACCCTCTAAATACACCTCCGCTGTCTTCAACCAGGATCTCAGCGATCACTGCCTTATTGCCTGCGTCCGTAACGGGTCCGCGGTCAAACGACCACCCCTCATCACTGTCAAACGCTCCCAAAAACACTTCAGCGAGCAGGCCTTCCTAATTGACCTGGCCCAGGTATCCTGGATGGATATATATCTCATTCCGTCAGTAGAGGATGCCTGGTTGTTCTTTAAAAGTAATTTCCTCTCAATCTTAAATAAACATGCCCCATTCAAAAAATACAGAACTAAGAACAGATATAGCCCCTGGTTCTCCTCAGACTTGACTGCCCTTGACCAGCACAAAAATATCCTGTGGCGTACTGCATTAGCATCAAATAGCCCCCGCGATATGCAACTTTTCAGGGAAGTTAGGAACCAATATACACAAGCAGTTAGGAAAGCAAAGGCTAACTTTTTCAAACAGAAATTTGCATCCTGTAGCACTAACTCCAAAAAGTTTTGGGACACTGTAAAGTCCATGGAAAATAAGAGCACTTCCTCCCAGCTGCCCACTGCACTGAGGCTAGGAAACACTATCACCACCGATAAATCTACAATAATTGAGAATTTCAACAAGCATTTTGCTACGGCTGGCCATGCTTTCCACCTGGCTACCACTACCCCGGCCACCAGCTCTGCACCCTCCGCTGCAACTTGCCCATGCCCCCCCCCCGCTTCTCCTTCACACAAATCCAGACAGCTGATGTTCTGAAAGAGCTGCAAAATCTGGACCCCTACAAATCATCTGGGCTAGACAATCTGGACCCTTTCTTTCTAAAACTAGCCGCCAAAATTGTCGCAACCCCTATTACTAGCCTGTTCAACCTCTCTTTCGTAACGTCTGAGATCCCCAGAGATTGGAAAGCTGCCGCGGTCATCCCCCTCTTCAAAGGGGGTGACACTCTAGATCCAAACTGTTACAGACCCATATCCATCCTGCCCTGCCTTTCAAAAGTTTTTGAAAGCCAAGTTAACAAACAGATCACCGACCATTTCGAATCCCACCGTACCTTCTCCGCTATGCAATCCGGTTTCCGAGCTGGTCATGGGTGCACTTCAGCCACACTCAAGGTCATAAACGATATTATAACCGCGATCGATAATAGACAGTACTGTGCAGCCGTTTTCATTGACCTGGCCAAGGCTTTCGACTCTGTCAACCACCGCATTCTTATTGGCAGACTAAATAGCCTTGGTTTCTCAAATGACTGCCTCGCCTGGTTCACCAACTACTTCTCAGATAGAGTTCAATGTGTCAAATCGGAGGGCCTGTTGTCTGGACCTATGGCAGTCTCTATGGGGGTGCCACAGGGTTCAATTCTTGGGCCGACTCTTTTGTCTGTGTATATCAATGACGTCACTCTTGCTGCTGGTGACTCTCAGATCCACCTCTACGCAGACGACACCATTTTGTATACATCTGGCCCTTCATTGGACACTGTGTTAACAAACCTCCAAACGAGCTTCAATGCCATACAACACTCCTTCAGTAGCCTCCAACTGCTCTTAAACACTAGTAAAACTAAATGCATGCTCTTCAACCGAACGCTGCTTGCACCCGCCCACCCGACTAGAATCACTACTCTCGACGGGTCTGACCTAGAGTATGTGGACAACTACAAATATCTAGGTGTCTGGTTAGACTGTAAACTCTCCTTCCAGACTCACATAAAGAATCTCCAATCCAAAGTTAAATCTAGAGTTAATCTAGAATCGGTTTTCCTATTTCGCAACAAAGCCTCCTTCACTCATGCTGCCAAACATGCCCTCGTAAAACTGACTATCCTACCGATCCTTGACTTCGGCGATGTCATTTACAAAATAGCCTCCAACACTCTACTCAGCAAATTGGATGTAGTCTATCACAGTGCCATCCGTTTTGTCTCCAAAGCCCCATATACTACCCACCACTGTGACCTGTACGCTCTTGTTGGCTGGTCCTCACTACATATTCGTCGCCAAACCCACTGGCTCCAGGCCATCTATAAATCACTGCTAGGCAAATCCCCGCCTTATCTTAGCTCATTGGTCACCATAGCAACACCCACCCGTAGTATGCACTCCAGCAGGTATATCTCACTGGTCATTCCCAAAGCCAACACCTCCTTTGGCCGCCATTCCTTCCAGTTCTCTGCTGCCAATGACTGGAACAAATTGCAAAAATCTCTGAAGCTGGAGACACTTATCTCCCTCACTAACTTTAAGCATCAGTTGTCAGAGCACCTTACCGATCACTGCACCTGTACACAGCCCATCTGAAATTAGCCCGCCCAACTACCTCATCCCTATATTGTTATTTATTTTGCTCATTTGTACCCCAGTATCTCTATTTGCACATCATCTCTTGCACATCTATCGTTCCAGTGTTAATACTAATTGTAATTATTTTGCACTATAGCCTATTTATTGCCTTACCTCCATAACTTGCTACATTTGCACACACTGTATATATATTTATTTCTGTTGTATTTTTGACTTTGTTTTGTTTTACCCCATATGTAACTCTGTGTTGTTGTTTTTATCGCACTGCTTTGCTTTATCTTGGCCAGGTCGCAGTTGTAAATGAGAACTTGTTCTCAACTGGTTTACCTGGTTAAATAAAGGTGAAATAAAAAAAGTAAAAAAAGTAATGGGAACGATATGAGCATTTTCCGCGCATCATGTCCAAATCAAATCATCCGAAAGTATCTAAAATCGATTGTGAAGGTCAACAAAGTAACTAGTAGATGATTTGAACATGAAAAATGCTAATATCATTCCTATGACTTTAATGGGATTTGTGCCACAAATGCTAAAATGTTAGCATGTGGAAACAGTGCCAGGGAAACTAAACCAAAGCATGGATTGCTGTCATACCTTGTCCATAGACAGCTTACAGGGTAAGGAAACCAATGTAATTTTGTAATTTGGGTGAACTACAATTGTCAGTGTAATGCATCTCAATAGTTAAAATAGTGCTTTTACACAATGTTGAAACCTAATATTCCACAATTGACATTGTCATTTCAATGACAGGTATTTGTATCAACATTTTAGCTTTTTATAATAAACCAATTTATTTACAGGGTTACATATTAGTTTCTAGGGCACAACATGTGCTTCAGAAATAGCTCAAATACATATAGGGCAAATACAGGCTATATCAATCGATTTTACAAATATTTTCTGGTGCTCCTAAATTTTGTTGTGCGCCTAACTTTTAGAAGTTGGGAGCACCAGTTTTACCAATGAAAAATATTAATTTAGAGCCCTAACTATAGTAAATATAATAGTAGATGTGCCATCATAAACAGCGGAGCAGAAATGAATTGCACATTGTTGGTAGTCGGCATTCACACAGTTTCCCTATCCTCGGACCCTTCCTCAAGGCACACTGCTCTCCTGCGTCACACTGTTGGAGGATCCACTCACATCATTATCACTATTACTACTTAGTAAAAAAAATTCGGAATGGTAAAAGTAGAGATTATGTATCTTACTCACCATAGGCAACTGACTGTTTATTTTCATGATATGGACCCCTGTTGATTTATAACCTTTCAAGCACCTCTTGGAAATCACTCATCTGTAACGTCATGCACATTCAGTTTGTGATGTTATTACACTAATACAATAATATTACATTCATTCAAAATGGCAATAAGAAAAATTTAACCTGACTGCTTTTTTTTCTCCATTTATGCTGTTATAGACAAACACAATGGATATGGCTTATATGAAAATAACAAGTGAATTTAATGCTCACCAGTTGCTTTTTGTCCCTGTTTACTTCCGGAAGGAAATCAGTTTCTTTTTTCCATGTCTGCTGTTTGATAGTGCGTTGAGAAATACGGCAGCACACCGCAACATGGGGAGATAAAACCGGCAGCTTCCCATTTTTCTCATTTAGCTTTCCCGTTCCACTTCAACCACTGGATTACAATGCTCAAACTAGCTGTTCTCTAGACCTGGCATGTTTGTATGTGTGTGTCTGTCAAAGAGCTTTGAATTCAATAGGCCTACTGCGTAACGTGAAGAAGAAGCGTCATAAACTAACATTTCATGTGCCTGAGAAAAACGTGTGCGTTTGCGGCATCTGTCACGTCACTTTCACATTGATGGCAAAGGTGCAGTTCATTTTGAATCACTGCAGTGAATGGGACAAAAACAAAGATGGAAATGCACGAAGGCTGCACAGTAGCACTTGCCTAATCAACTTATTAATTGAGAGGCAGATTGAGCTGAGCACATAGGCGCACACATCAATGGAACAGCTATTAATTGTGCTCAGTGCACATTTTTACAGCCCAATATTCTCACCAAGATGCCGGTCCTTGAAAATGTACCAGATCTTTATCATGAAGTCGTCATCTGACCTGGGGTTAAGACAACAGAGAGAGTAGTCATAGTGACTCAATGGAACTCAGAAACAATATTTTGTGACGATAGATGAGGATAGTTCCAAATGAGGAGTTTAAACGGTGTGTCTTGAAGGACAACAAACAGGTGTTGTAGGATTACTCCCACTATAATGACTAGTGTGGGTGTGTGGTATAATGTGTGTTATTAAATGGTGTGCGTTTCTTCCTGTGTGCTCAGATGCTTCAGCGTGTGGTGATGGTGGCCGCAGAGAGTCTGAAGGTCCTGGAACCTCAGTTGATGGACGCCAACCAGATACAGGACGTCCGAGTTAGTCACACACACACTTACCCACCATTCTATCAATCTATTCATACTCATAAAACTACTACATGCACACTCACATTCATGTTAGTATGTTTTTCTTCAGTCAGACCTACTTTTTTGTAATAATCCATTCCATCATTAACATTCCTTTCCCTTCTCTTCCTCTGTTCTCTCGCTCCGTGTGTGTGTTTGCATGTGTACAGGTGGCCATGCGGCCTCCTTTGGATGCCTATGATGTCCTGACCCACCTGATCCCCAAGCAGGTGCCCTTACTGAGCCAGGCAGTGGACCCGCCTCATGCTACCTTCAGCAGGGGCATCCTGGCTGGCAGCGTGGCCAACACTGGAGGGGTACTACCCGTCATCGACTTCTGCCCCGTCACCCACTACCTGGCAGAACTCAGAGTGAGTACGTGTGTGTGCGCCCGTGTGTGCCTGCATGTGTGTTGGCGATAGATCCTTTTTGCCTATATAAATGAGGCTCAGGCTAGCGGGTTTTCTATAGAAGCAAAAAGGCAATGTCTGGGTTTCTCCTGACATGCACTTTTTCCTTTTCATTGGCTCCATTTTTTAACCGGTGTCCCCTCCTGTCTTTCCCAGGATGCATTTGGAGTCCTGGCTCTGTTCTTCTGTGACCCCTACGGCGGCACTGTGATCGCTGTGCTATGGAAACCCAAAGCCTTCAGCCCACTGCCTTTCAAGGTAAAGACAGAAAAATCACAGAATATGTCTCTCTCCTTTTCTGCTCATGCATTTCTTTGTGTATCCCCCTTGGTCATGTGTCCCTCCCTCTTCCAGACCTCCCAGATGGTGGCTCGTCGTGGGGAGGTGAGTGGGGAGGAGGCTCACACTGTCCCCAATGTGGAGGCCATACTGGAGGACTTCAGGGTCATGGGCCAGGGTCTGGTCAAGTCAGTGGAGCCATGGACTGAGAAATGGGTGGTGTAGACTGAGCACGTGCGCAAGCACACACACACACACACACACAGACACACAGAAACATGTACGATAATTGTATTTTAATTTAAACAATCACATTTTGAAATGGATTACCCCATAGCCAGCAAAACATGTCAAATCGTTGACACCTTTTTGTAAAAATGAAATCAATATGTTGTAACACACTTATTGTATATCCAATTGTGTGCAAACGCAAGTCATGCACATTTACTGGATAAAATAAACGTACGAAACTAACCATGTGGAGTCTTTGTTTTCGCTGGTGCTTTAACCCTGTCTTATAACTGTGTGTCTGTTACTGTTTTGTACGTACAGTGAGGTCCAAATGTATTGGGACAGTGACACATTTTTTGCTCTACTCCAGCACTTTGGATTTGAAATGATGCAATGATTATGACGTTAAAGTGCAGACTGTCATCCATATTGGGTGAACTGTTTAGAAATTACACCACTTTTTGTACATTGTAGGGGACCAAAATTATTGGGAAAAATTCACTTATGTGTATTAAAGTAGTCAAAATTTTAGTATTTGGTCCCATATTCCTAGCACGCAATGATTATTAAGCTTGTGACTGTACAAATTTGTTGAATGCATTTGCTGTTTGTTTTGGTTATCCAGATTATTTTGTGCCCAATAGAATGAATGGTAAATCATGTATTGTCACTTTTTATGTTTCTAGATACTTCTACATTCATATGGATGCTACCATGATTCCGGATAAGAATAAGCCCCGGTAAAATGGATAACTATTGAAAGATGGCTGATATGCGGTTTTCTACACTGTGCAACCTTTGGTAGGTAGGTTGCTGGCAGGCTTCGGCTGTGGTGTACAGCAAAGCCAAGTCAGCCCGTGCTCATGGTTCTCACAAGGGAAGAGAAATTATAGGCTACAATGACATGTAACTATAAATTCGTAGAAATGTATTTATTTTGTGGGTGCCTTTTCATTATCTGGATAGACACTTGTGGTTTCTAGCTGACGTTACACCAATCAAAGCAGTGGAGGTCCTGGGTTGGCGTGGTTACACGTGGTCTGCGGTTGAGAGGCCAGTTGGATGTACTGCCAAGTTCTCCAAAACGTTTATATTTTTGTTCAGAATGTGTATGTATTTATGTAATATCTAGCAATAAAAAAAAAAGTGAAAATTATACAATGGATTACAATAATGTTCTGGGGAGAAAAAGTGCAGGTGCAAAAACATAAGTTTGCACCCCGTATTTTAATTTGCTCCATGACTCATGCGGCCAAGTGGACACAAGGCTGTTTGGCTCATCTCAGCCGCGAAGAGGAATAACTTTGCAGCTGTTTCTGATTTAAAAAACAATCCCATGCTGGTGGATGGTAATGTTAAAAGAAAACACAGCCCTGAAATGCAACGTAGGCTGAAAAGCATTTGTATGCCATATCATAGGAAAATACACTGAATTTACACAGATTTGCAAGAAGTCCAAATATATCATACTTTGACTAAAATGATGACTTATTGACTTAAATTGTTGTCGAACCAGGAGAAGAACACCACACCCCTCATGTAGTACTACATCCTAGCCATGCCGGGCTCTGTACCAGTGGAGGCTGCTGAGGGGAGGACGGCTCATAACAATGGCTGGAACGGCGCAAATGGAATGGCATGTGTTTGATGTATTTGATACAATTCCGCTCCTGCTATTACCACGAGCCCATTCTCCCCAGTTCAGGTGCCACCAACCTGTGCTCTGTACATATATTTTTAGACTAGTATAACCAACACACAGGGTATGAGCCCATGTCTCCTGCGCACCAGAAAAGCATAAGCCTGCTAAGCTGAAGCCTAGGCATTGACTCGGGGAGCCAATGCATTGACTCTGGGAACCAATGCAACTCTTCAGGTCTTAGGTAAGGTTAGGCCTACTCATGCATGTGTGTTAACTGAACCACCTCATCTTCACAGAGACCCATCTGAGCCACTGCATAAATATGACTGATGGTTCGAACAAGGGTCTTCTGCACATCAGAAGAGCACCTAAGCCCACTAAACCAAAGCCTACCCACTGGGCAAAAACTGGTTGAATCAATGTTGTTTCCACGTCATTTGGAGAAAAAAATGTGATGTTTAATCAATGTGGGAAACAGATTGGATTTGCAAAAAGTCATCAATGTAAGGGAATTTTGTATTTTAACCTAAATCCAATGAAAGGGTGACATTGTTTTTTATTAAATGTTGAGTTCACTGTAGTTGACAATTCAACCAAATGTAAATCAAAACTAGACGTTGAACTGAGATCTGTGTCCAGTATAGCCAATGCAATTCTTCAGGTATCAGGCAAGGTTACTCATTATGCGACTAACTAACCAGAAAGAAGTGGTTCGGTGACCACGCACATGTGATGAGTAACTTTGCCTAGTGTTGAGTAACTGCCTGAGACCAGAAAAACTGCATTGGCTCCCCAAGCTAAATTGCCTAGGAGTTGGATTAGAAGGCTAAGATGTTCTTCTGGTGTACAGGACACCAGTTTCGAACCCCATCAGTTACACTAGTCTAAAATCAATGGGCATAGTGTGTGACATGGCTAGGATATCACTGCATGGTGGTGTCGTGTTGCTCTCCTGGTTCACGTCTCCAGGAAGCAATTGGCATACAGTTTGAAAATGAAAAGAGAAAATGCTAAATTGGGCGGTTGGAAAATGAAAACAGCCACTTTCCATTTCACTTTGTACATTACAATGATAGTTTTCTGTTAACCTTTTGCCATTTTCTTTACCATTTGCAATTAGCCATTTTTGATTTTTATTTTAACATTGCAATTTAATTGTGGCATGAATAATGCGCACTAATATGAAAATATAAATGCATTTATCACTTTCACATTTAATTTAAGCATTGCATTTTTGAACTGGCACTGGCTCCCCTCCATTTGTTCCTGCTAAATGTAGTTTCATCTTGAAACTTTCTTTGGAAGCAGTTCCTTGTGATTGGGATTCCTGCTAGTGCTATGTTCAGTTTAGCTCACTCAACTTTATCATCCCGCGGGGGATATTAATTTGGTCATCACACTTTACACAAAGACATTGAAAAGCGACAAGCACCATGAATGTACGTAAAAATGTGTTGACATACTGACTAGATGTTGAGGAAATTCCAAAGAGAGGCGATGTGTTATACCTAATCAAGCACCATTGTGTCCATCTCCGACATAATCATGTCACAATGGACAGATAATTGTCCGGACTTATTTTGTCCTCGCCCAATGTTGTTAGCTATCTAATTATTACAGGATTTCCTGCTCAAATCGTGACTCCTCGCACGTTGGGAATAATCTGGTTACCTGGTTCAACCTTTTCAACAATCTGTCTTTACTTTATTTATCGTGTCCTCACAGCTGCTTGCCTAACCAGCTGTAACTGAAGTTTGAACTCAGTTTGAACTCAGTTTTTAAAGTGGTCCTCTAGCTCAGTTGGTAGAGCATGGCGCTTGTAACGCCAAGGTAGTGGGTTCGATCCCCGGGACCACCCATACACAAAGATGTATGCACGCATGACTGTAAGTCGCTTTGGATAAAAGCGTCTGATAAATGGCATATTATTAATTTATTATTATAAATTGCTTTGGACTTGACTGTTACATATTTTCCAGTTTGTGATGTTTCATCACTGTTCATCAGTGATTTATGTAGTTTTGTCTACATGAACACTTAGGATGTTAGGAGATCTGCACTGATTATCCCTTAATTAAACAAAAACTTTGGGAAAATGTGCCCATCTACGTGATGCTGAAGTAGTGCTGAGATGTGAGACCTGCTGTATTAGTGTTGCCCCAAAAGGCTTGATCAGAGTGGACAGTGTACCACAGTAGTTTTTGTAGGATTTGACTAAGATTTCACATAAACCAGCTCCTTCTAAGAGGCTATTTCCATCATCAGTCTGTAAACGATTGCATTATGTTTTACGAAAACATATTTCACAAAAATGTAACCTATTCCAAAACTGGATGTATGGCCATGTGAGGAACTGCAGGTGAGTAGTTTGCGTAGCGGACTCTGAATGTCTGAGTTAACATACATAGAATCCAACACGCACGCACAAACACTCACTTTACTAGGATAGTATTTACCATAAGAACAACAAATCACATAAAACTACACAGACACGCTAGACCAGCTCCTTCTAAGAGGCTATAGGAGGGTTGGTGAACCTGAGATCTAGTGTGTAGTCAAGGTGAGGAACTCAATATAGTTTTACACTGTCACTGCAAAGCTCCACAGCTGTTAAAGTTGAGGCTTAGTTTTATGTGTTGGTGCGTGTGTTGGATTCTAGCTGTTTATGTACTGTGTTTGTGTCAGTGTAGTATGTGTGGGTAGACTCCAGTGAGTGTGCATAGAGCCAGTGCAAGAGAGTGTCATGACTGTCCTGTGAGGATCCAATGGGTCAGATCAGCTTGGCAATGGTTTACAGTAACCAGGCCTCTCTCACACACAGAAGAGGGGAGGAGGGGACTGGGCCGGTTTGACAGCTTACACCCTGTCGTAAATTAAAGGAGAGGAGGTCTAGGGTCTCCCTCTCCAGTATTTAGCAAAGGAATGTCTTTGTTAACAGACAATATTCCTGCTGAAACTCTAAACACATTAAAAAGTGAATACTGGAACAATATTTCTAACATAAGAATGTGGGGATCTAAAGAATAATCATGTCATATTGTTTAGTATTTTGTGATGTCATTAAGAATGGTATCAAGAAAATATTGTCACTTGGAAAGTATACACACTGTATGTGTCAGGTTTTCATCCTTTATGTTGTGTAGTAGATATGAAAACTGAGAAGAAGGACTAAGAAGAAGGACATTGTGACCTCTGGTGGACAATCAGAGCCTTACAAGTGACCCACGGGAGAACCAGCAAAACCTCCTTTCCAAGAAGGCTTGGTTTCAACAGAGATAGACGACGAACAAAGACATCCACATGTAAATACATTCATGATTTCTTACTCCAAACGGGCGGTGGTTTGTGTGCAAAGTAAATGATTACTGTGAGTGTAGTTTCCAAATGTACGATAAGTGTTGTGTCTCTCCTTCTCTCTCTCGCTCTCTATCCCTCCCTCTTTGGTAACCAAGCAGTCATGTTGTTGTTAGTCCGCTAGGGACTTTTTGTCATGTATTAAGTGTGTATGTTATTCTGTGTTATTATTTAGTTAGCTAGTAAATAAATAATTAAACCAATTTCCGTAGTGCTGAATCATAAGTAAAGCTGGGGTTCTTGCAGATCCAAAAAGTCTACGACCGTTCAGAATGACGATATGAGGAAATGATTAATACGTTGACTGTTATATACATATTGATAGGTAAAGACCTTTAGAGTTTAATTCGGGAGATGGTCACTCTTTAAACAACTTATTCCGTGGTGCCCCAAATCCTAATGAGTTAATTGTTACATGATTCATTTAATTGAGTAACAATTAAACATAGTTAGTTGATTCGATAAGTAACAGTCATCAGATTAATGAAAGTCATGACAAGAGTCAGTGCAACAACAAAAAAAGGGGTCAATGCAAATAATCTGGGTAGCCACTTGATCAACTGTTCATCAGTCTTATGGCTTGGATGTATAAGCTGTTCAGGAGCCTTTTGGTACCGCTTGCTGTGCGGTAGCAGAGAGAACAATCTATGACTTGGGAGGCTGGAGTCATTGACAAAAATACATTTCTATACCACCTGGTATGGAGGTCCTGGATGGCAGGGAGCTCGGCCCTTGTGATCTACTGGTCCATATGCACTATTCTATGTAGCACCTTGCGGTCAGATTCCAAGCAGTTGCTGTACCAAGCAGTGATGCAGCCGGTCAAGATGCTTTCAATGGTGCAGCTGGAGAACTTTTGGAGGATCTGAGGGCCCATGCCAAATCTTTTCAGCCTCCTGAGGGGGAAGAGGTGTTGTCGTGCCCTCTTCACGACTGTGTTGGTGTGTTTGGACCATGATAGGTCCTTAGTGATGTGGACACCGAGGAACTTGAAGCTCTCGACCTGCTCCACTACAGTCCCGTCAATGTGAATGAGGACGTGCTTGGCCCTCCGTTTCCTGTAGTCCACGATCAGCTCCTTTGTCTTGCTGACGTTGAGGGAGAGGTTGTTGTCCTGGCACCACACTGCCAGGTCTCTGACCTACTCCCTATAGGTTGTCTCATCATTGTCGGTGATCAGGCCTACCATTGTTGCGTTGTCTGCAAACTTAATGATGGTGTTGGAGTCGTGCGCTGGCACACAGTCGTGGGTGAACAAGGAGTACAGCAGTGGACTGAGCACGCACCCCTGAGGTGCAGCCGTGTTGAGGCTCAGCATGGCGGATTTGTTGTTGCCTACCCTCACCACCTCAGGGCGGCCCTTCAGGAAGTCCAGGATCCAATTGTAGAGGGAGGTGTTCAGTCCCAGGATCCTTAGCTTAGTGATGAGCTTGAAGGGCACTATGGTGTTGAATGCTGAGCTGTAGTCAATTAACAGCATTCTCATGTAGGTGTTCCTTTTGTCCAGGTGGGAAAGGGCAGTGTGGAGTGCAATAGAGATTGCGTCATCTGTTGGGCCGGTATGCTAATTGAAGTTGGGTCCAGGCTGTCTGGGATGATGGTGCTGTTGTGAGCCATGACCAGCCTTTCAAAGCATTTCATGGTTATAGATGTGAGTGCTACGGGGCGATAGTCATTTAGACAGGTTACCTTGGCGTTCTTGGGCACAGGGACTAGGGTCTGCTTGAAACATGTAGGTATTACAGACTGGGTCAGGGAGAGGTCGAAAATGTCAGTGAAGACACTTCCCAGCTGGTCAGCACATGCTCGAAGTACGCGTCCTGGTAATCCGTCTGGCCCTGCGGCCTTTTGAATGTTAACCTGTTTAAAGGTCTTACTCACATGGGCTATGGAGAGCGTAATCACACAGTCGTCCGGAACAGCTGGTACTCTCATGCATGATTCTGTGTAGCTTGCCTCGAAGCGAGCATAGAAGGCATTTAGCTCGTCTGGTAGGCTCGCGTCACTGGGCAGCTCACGGCTGGGTTTCCTTTTGTAATCTGTGATTTTTGCAAGCCCTACAACATCCGACCAGCGCCAGAGCCGGTGTAGGATACGGTCTTAGTCCTGTATTGACACTTTACCTGTTTGATGGTTCGTCGGCAGGCGTAACGGGATTTATTATAAGCATCTGGATTAGTGTCCCGCTCCTTGAAAGTGGCAGCTCTAGCCCTTAGCTCAGTGCAGATGTTGCCTGTAATCCATGGCTTCTGGTTGGGATATGTACGTACGGTCACTGTGGGGACGACGTAGTCAGTGCACTTATTAATGAAGCCAGTGACTGATGTGGTAAACTCCTTTATGTCATCGGATGAACCCCGGAACATATTCCAGTCTGTGCTGGTTAAACAGTCCTGTAGCTTAGCATCCGCTTCCTCCGACCACTTCCGTATTGAGCGTATCACTGGTACCTCCTGTTTGAGTTTTTTGCTTGTAAGCAGGAATCAGGAGGACAGAGTTGTGGTCAGATTTGCCAAATGGAGTGCTAGAGAGAGCTGTGTATGTGTTTCTGTGTGGAGTAAAGGTGATAAAGTTGTTTTGCCTCTAGTTGCACAGGTGACATGCTGGTAGAAATGAGGTAAGACGGATTTCAGTTTTCTTGCATTAAAATATGGGTGAAGTAGGCAATAATTTGCTTTCTTTTTCGGCATCAGACCTGCCTAATTCTCACTTGAAACACTTTTTGTGTGCCAAATTCTCACTTTTTGTGTTTTGTTGGCTAAACTACACATTCTGTTAACATCTAAGTCCAGAGTGATCTGTTCTTGCAATTTGTAGTCTATAACATTTCAGATTTAGATATGATAATGTTTGGATGTAGTGAACTACTTTTTCTAAGTAACTTCAGTTAAGTAAGCTATCTTTTTCTTAAGGGTAGCTTTAGTGTAGCTTAACTTCTTCCAGTGTGAAGTCATTGGTAGCTTGGTAAACTATATTTTCAGAGAAGCTTCCCTAACACTGGTTGCAATATTAAATACAATGTTGGATATAACAGAAAAGAACATGAAGGTAGATCATATTTGATCAAGAACTGATTGCAATCTATGCTGTCGGAGTCAAGTGGAATGCAATGTACTCCAGTCCCTCAACAGAATAGACAAAACGTTATTGGTGTTAGAAGCATACCTTTTGAGCAGTTATTGGCATATAATGACTCACACCTCTATTCAAACCAGACAAAGCAGGAAATAGTACGTGGTGATAAAGTTTCAGGCAGAGAAGAAAGAAACAGTGAGAAGAGAGTGAGAACCAGATGAGGACAAGAAAGACTAACAGAGAGAGAGAGGGTGTGTATGAGTTTGAATCAGTGAGAAAGAGCAGAGGGTGTGGGAGTTACAAAGGAGAGAGAGAGACTGAGGGAGGGAGAGACAGACTGAGGGAGGGGGAGAGAGAGAAGTGAGGGAGAGAGTCTGAGGGAGGGAAGGCGTGAGAGAGAGGAGGGAGAGCGAGAGAGAAGGGAGGGTTCGAGGGGGCTGGCTTTGGCAGGAACCACACGAGGTCCAGGTCCTATAATAGGAGGCCAGTGCATTAGCCATCACACACACACAGGAGGACCTACCTACTTGCTGTCACCCAGTCATAATACAGGACGTTAGCTGAGCAGCACTGAAGCATGGGAAAACAGAAGATATTAATGGACAAGCTGTCACAGACCTTCCAGATCCGTAACTTGCTGCTGCGCCAGGCCCTGGCAGAGTGTCTGGGTACCCTCATTCTGGTGGTAAGAGCTCTGCCATCTTTTCACCTCTGTCACCTCACTGACATCCAGATTGCATGTTTTACTGCATGTGATGATTCTTTGCCACAAGAAATATTAGTATGAGCGTATTCATACCTGTAGACAAAATACTACTGAAGGTTACATGGTTGGCAATTGTCTGTTAATTTAATGTCTGTTAATCATACTCTGGATTAACAATAACCTGTGTATCGACTATTGTTGTAATGCCAAGATGTGAGAGTGATGGATACTGGTAAGTGAAACCGACATCAGTGTGCTGCTCACAGTATATCTTCCTCTACTGTCCATGTCGTCATACCGGGCTCGAACCAGTGTTCCTCTGCTCATAAATACGTGACTGTCCTCTTTGACAATGTAACAACCGTTTGAGCTATACAAAAGGTACCAATTGGATTGCTCCATCGGCGACATTTCAAGCTAGATGTGGAGTGAGCTTACGCCATGTTCTTAACTCCATTACATAAGTTCAGCATGGCTTTACAGGTTGTGCTAGCCTTTGCACTTGACCTCAAATTCTCTGGGGTCGGGAATGTGAGCCTCATATAGGCACCTATAAATTACACTCCTTGAGTGTGTGTGAAAATATGATTGCTCTTGTTGGCAAGAACATGGATACATGATCTTTACTCAGCAAAACGATCCAGGACTCACCTTGCAACCTCATGTGCTCTTCTGATGTCATAGTTGAGGTGTGTGCATGTTTACAGTCGCTAATGAAATAAAGTCTTCACATTTTGCTGCCTTAAAATTACATCTAAAAAGGGAATACATTAGATTTTTTTCCCCTACCAATATACAAAACCTACCTTACATTTTCAAAGTCAAAGAAAATTACAGAAAAGTTAAAAGTTTTCAGAAGACTACAGTGGGTTTTCCTCTAACTTTTTACCTGAGCTTTTCTCCTTTCTGTGCATATGGCCAGTGCAGGTAGTCAGTGCAGATAGTCCATACAGATAGTCCGGGTAGCCATTGATTAGCTATTCAACAGTCTAATTGCTTGGAGATAGAAGCTGTCTCGGAGCCTGTTGGACTTACATTATGAACTTTTGGTTCACCATGATGTTCAAGTAAACAGCTTTATTTTTATTTATTTTTAGCCTCAGTTTTGGATTTATTCCTGTTTTTCGGCAGTGTGCGGGTCTCAATCTCTTTCAGTATTCTCTAATTTTGATTCCTACGCACCTGGAACCAAAACTATTTAGTATAAAGGACACCGCCTGGTATAAAGGTCCTGCATGACAGAGCGCTCAGCCCCAGTGACGTACTGGACCATCCGCACCACCCTCTGTAGAGTCTTGTGGTCGAGGGCGGTGCAGTTGCCATACCAGGCGGTGATGCAGCCAGTCAAGATGCTCTCAATGGTGCAGCTGTAGAACTTCTTGACGATCTGAGGTCCCATGCCAAATCTCTTCAGGAAGAAGAGGCACTGTTGGGCCCTCTTCAAGACTGTGCAGGTGTGTGTGGTCCATGTTAAAGGGATAATTAATCCCAAATCTATATTTGGATAACATTTCTCATAATTTCCCTTGAGGTGTGTCTGAAGGCCCATGGTGACAGAATCCACAATAATCCATGATTTACTTCTGGCTACCACCTGGAGTTAGCATATTAGCACCGTCAAATTTCATGGATGTAATAAGACAGACCGATGTTAGCAAAGCTGCACTGCAAGCCAAAACTTTCTCAAAAACACTTTAATACGTTTGGTAGCGTCGATACTCGCAAAGAACCCGTCCATGTTTTCTTCCCTTCGAGAATGTCGTTTTTTCTGCAATAAAAGTCACATTTTCAAATGCTCTGATACTTTCTATGTTTACCGGTCAGTTTTGTTCACATCTGGAAATCAATCCATGTCTATATCCTGCCCCAGGAGGAGTGTCTTTACTCACATTACTTTTAGCCAGCTACACCACATTGTTTGGACATTAGAACCTTGTTTGTTTGCGAGAGATGCGAGAGATAACCGAAAGAACTGAGATAATATGTCTGACTGCGAAGAGGAAGAGGATGTTTGGGGGAGGCAGAGCCTTACTTGTTCGAACCGGAATACACTGGGGGCGGCCTGTCAGAAAGTGCAGGATCCAGTTGCAGAGGGAGGTGTTCAGTCCCAGGGTCCTGAGCTTGGAGATGAGCTTGGAGGGCACTATGGTGTTGAATGATGAGCTATAGTCCATTTACAGCATTCTCCATAGGTATTCCTTATGTCCAGGTGGGAAATTGTGTCATCTGTGGATCTGTTGGAGCGGTATGCGAATTGGACTGGTGTGTGTGTGTAGAGCTTTAATCCAGCTTGTGTCTGTCATATTTGATCTTCATTCTTCATCTTGGTGACATGCCACAAGCCTTGTTAATAATGATCACAGATTTTGCTAGTCTATAATTCAACATACGTTGTGTGTAAGATGTAGGTCTACTGAAGACATAAAGCAATGCTTGACTTGGACTGAAATAGGTGTCGGTGCTCATTTTGGATGTCGCTATTGTTAATATTCTTGCACAAACTCCACAATATTTATGAGCTAATAGAACATAGAACACAAGCAGTAGAACATTTGAAAGCTTCAATTTATCACAAAACTATGATATTTTAAGAACTAGTTTTTAAAAAAGACATGCACTTTTGTCCACCGTTGACTGGTAGGCTGTTGACTCTCTTCTTAGAGATTGGTCTTTTTCTAGAAGGACAGATCCCTCCACTTAAGTCAACTTTAATGGAACTGACAGATTAAATCTTCCCTCGGTCACTGACCTAAATGAATCCAGACCTTAGCCATCCGCCATGTTAAATAAACAAACAAGACAAACTCAACAACCCTTGCTATTTATTTTATTTATCTTGCTCTAGCAGTAAATGGCCACTTAAGAAAATGGGTAGTACCACTTGAAGCACCTACCAGATAAAACAGCCAGTAAAGCCTACACTCTGCAGGCTTTCTAAACAGTTAAGTTTCACTGTTTTGCTCAGAGAGAAAGAGTTGTTAGAGAGATGACTCAGTCTTACTCACGGTCACAGGCTCTCTCACACCTGTTTTACAAAGCTTTTCTTCATTGCCTACTGTTAATGAAATAGATTTTCTCACGCTAAGATAGGATCTCTACAATCGATGTCCATCTAGAAAAGCCTTGCATTGGTTCCCTAAAACACCAACTTTCAGCGTCAGAAAAGTAATACAAGCGTCAGAAACTTGTTGCACTTGCCAAGCGTCGTCGTCAAAGCACTATTTATTATAAGATAGTAAATAAACGTGGACAGGTGCTATACTGCTAATAACAAAACATGATGTATATCTCCGGCAGGAGCATGGATGGAAAAGCACTGTGCTTTAAACCTGTTTTGTCACTGTCTAAGGCACTAGCGGCAGGTTTGGCATGTCTAGTGCTATGTAAAACGTGGATGGCAGTATTGGGAGTGACTGCAACAACGCAATGGGTGAAACCTGAACATGCCAAATATATTCACGCCCTCCAGGACATATATAGACGTCACCTGTCTTCAAGTTACACTAATGACTGACTAATGTAATGACAGGCGCTCTTAAAAGATACTCAGGGATAGGGAGGCAGAGGAAGGAAGGAAGGGCAGGGTGTGTTTATGTATGTGTGTTTAATTTGTGTGTGTGTACGCATGTATGTGACAGGTAGTGTGTGTGCATGTGTGTGCATGTGAGCTATACCCCTGCATATGGAGAACATATCTCTGCATTCTATACAATGTCAGGATTTGGAAAATAATCAAACTAAACAACAGTCATTGATTAGACACAGCTGAATGGCTGTGGTGTCTCTGTGGACACTTCCATGTCCAGGTGGTGGAAGGCGGGCCAACAGGCACTATTTGTCCCTGAAGGTCAGCGGGGTGACAGGTCTTTCCTGAGATCTCCCACTGGGCAAAAACTGGTTGAATCAACATTGAATCCATGTCATTTCAACAACAAAAAAATCAATGTGATGACGCTGAATGAACATGGAAAACTGATTAGATTTGCAAAAAGTAATCAACGTAAGGGAATTTAGGCTTTTTTTCACCTAACCTTTCACCTAAATCCATTGACATGGTGACATTTGTTGTTGAATTCACATTAGTTGACAACTCAACCAAATGTAAATCAAAACTAAACGTTGAACTGACGACTGTTCCCAGTGCACTAACTGTGTCACCTGTGTGTGACAGGTGGTTGGACATACAGAACACGTCCTTGTGCATGTCACCACCCAGGGAACAATGCAGTCCTTACATAAACCCAGGAGCTAGGAGGGAGAAAACGACGATAATCTTTCTCTTTATATTACAGCTCCATCTATGAAACAGTCATTGTGTGCTATTCTTTGCTTACATTGAAGGGATGAAAGACCACGTTGCCACACGAAACCATGGCTTACCACACCAAATCACAACTTCCATACAAAGTTACTAGGAGTGATGCTCTACTGGAAAAAGGTTGACGACTTCTTCACACAGTATTTTATTCACACACTTCACATCTTTCCTTTTGTCCCAATAACAGTTTTAATGTATATGGATGTTGGAAAAGACTGGCGGCATCTAAATCTACCCAGAGATTTCCTCTCCCTCCAGTACTGTTCACTAAAAGGGAATGCATGAGTGACCAGGTGTATCGGTAGACACTCAGACGGAGGACACAGCATGAACTGCCTGACAGTCTGGGGGAGTAAGTGTGCAAAGTAATCATGTAATGTCATGGTGTAATGCTGTCATGACATGCTGTCGCTATCACCACCAGGCCATTTAGAGAGCTGTGATTTAATTTAAATAATTATCCTGTTAGACGCTGTCTTTTAAGTCATTTCTTACTGCATCATGAAACTTAAACGATTCAGTGAATAACCTTTTGGTGGAATTTGATCTGGCTAATTCAGTCAGCATTTGGCTCCATACTGATGCTTCTGACATTAAGATCCCTTTGACATTTAACTTCATGTCTAACTAAAGATGGGCCCCTCTGAAGATGTGGTATTTTTCCAGCCAGTCGGAAGCATGAGGCCCATTGGGCTAATCAGGAGCCAGAGTTTAGACTGGGCCCAGTGATGTTAAGCCATCCACTAGACGCCAAGCCCTCTGTCGAGACAGTTCCTTGTAGCTCACCTCAACATATGTATCCTGTGGTCTGAGCTGAATGCATCTGCTTCAGGGGGCCTTGCGACTGGCAGACCACACATTACTGTTATCCCCATAGTAATGGACACACACACACACACACACACACACGTCGGCTCGCAAACACACTATGCAGTATGTCCACTTTGGCAATTCTATAGCTAATTCACAACCATGACAGCAGCTTCTGAAACAGACGTCCTCTCACTGCATGAAGCCTTGTTTCCATTCTAGAGCATATTTACATTTTAGTCATTTAGCAGACGCTCTCATCCAGAGCGACTTACAGTTAGTGAGTGCATACATTTTCATACTGGCCCCCCCGTGGGAAACGAACCCACAACCCTGGCGTTGCAAGCGCCATGCTCTACCAACTGAGCTACAGGGGACCTCTTCTATTATAAATAAATACAAATAAAAGAAGAAAAAAAACACCAATAAACCCCCAAAGGGTTTATTTTAGGGATGGAAATGTTGGTCAATTTTGCTGCCGACTAACTGACCCTCATTAACCTCTTAAGGATCAGACCCCTTTTTTTTTCAATTTTCGCCTAAAATGACATACCCAAATCTAACTGCCTGTAGCTCAGGACCTGAAGCAAGGATATGCATATTCTTGATACCATTTGAAAGGAAACACTTTGAAGTTTGTGGAAATGTGAAATGAATGTAGGAGAATTTAACACATTAGATCTGGTAAAAGATAATACAAACAAAAAAACATGCGGTTTCAAATTTCATCATCTTTGAAATGCAAGAGAAAGGCCACAATATAATATTGCAGTTTAGGCACAATTTAGATTTTTCATTTTACATTTACATTTAGTAGACGCTCTTATCCAGAGCGACTTACAGTCAGTGAGTGCATACATTTCCCCCCCCATACTGGTCCCCCATGGGAAACGAACCCACAACCCTGGCGTTGCAAACGTCATGCTCTACCAACTGAGCTACACAGGACTACCACTAGATGGCAGCAGTGTGTGTGCAAAGATGCAGATTGATCCAGTGAAGCGTTGCAATACTGGACTATTTTGTATCAAGTCTGCCCAAATGTGCCGACTTGGTCAATTCATAGATTTTCAAGTACATAACTATACCGAACATACAAAAATGATATGGTAATACAAAATGTAAATTCACACAATCCCAGGAATGTCATACATGATAGATCATTAGCTTATACACTAACTTTCACACATATAAAACAAGGCCTTTCCTGCCAGCATGTTCATATCAGGGCGGAAATATGTAGTACACTTGTTTTATCAGATACATCGGTATCTGAAAAATACTCATACATTTGGACTGGGACAATCAAATGTCAACACTGACAAAAAATCTAGGATATCCATTTGTGTATCATGTATACTGACAAAGCCTTTTGTTACACAAAGCTTGAGTGACTCAAATATTGCAGTGTGTTAACATTGCAATGAGTAAATGTTTGGCTCTGCTCTGGCATTAAACACAATGAGTGCTCCTCATATGCAGTCATTACAATCTTATTTTTGCAGGCAATGTTGATGATCATTGTTTGTTGGTACCCATGCTATACCTTTCGTCTCTTCACTCTCTTTACAGATGTTTGGTTGCGGTGCAGTGGCTCAGCTGGTGCTTAGTGGAGGATCTCATGGCATGTTCCTAACCGTCAACTTTGCTTTTGGCTTCGCTGCCACCCTAGGGATCCTGGTCTGTGGCCAGGTATCAGGTACACACCTCATATTAGCAATACATGCACATTAATTAACTCACCAACATGCTTAGGTGTAGAGGTTCTCCTTGAGCAGAATTGTTCCCATGAGTTGGTCCAAGACTCAGTCATGTCTCCAAGTCGTGTTCCTAAATGTCTGTATTGGAAAGGGATAGTTGATGTCCATTTGGAGAGAAGCCGTCCTGCTTTAATGTTAAAAATCTGTCAACATGTGTGTTTCCCAGGAGGCCATCTCAATCCGGCGGTGACCTTTGCCCTCTGCCTGCTTGGGAGAGAACGATGGAGAAAGTTCCCTGTCTACTTTTTCTTCCAGACACTGGGAGCTTTCCTGGGCTCCGGGATCATCTTTGGTCTGTACTATGGTGAGTCCTCGGAACTGTCCAGGGATAGAACGGAAGCATCTGTTGGAGTCAACTCTTTGATAAGTCTTAATAACTTAGCCATAAGGTTGAATCTGTGTATAGCGTAACACCTCGTTATAGTTGATGTTATATCATAATGTGTGTGTGTATTCTCCCCTCAGACGCTCTGTTGGACTATGCTGGAGAACTCGTTGTTACCGGGCCCAACGCCACCGCTGGCATCTTCGCCACCTACCCTAGCAAACATCTCACATTGGTCAACGGCTTCTTCGACCAGGTAAGCCCCTTTCTTCCGTGTACAACCCCCAAACTGGTTGGATAAGGAAATAGAACTACTAGTATATTCGGAATTCTCCATGTTAATGGAGGTATCTCTATCCCAGACGATTGGCACTGCAGCATTGATCGTGTGTATCCTGGCCATCGTGGACCCCCATAACAACCCCATCCCCCAGGGCCTGGAGGCCTTCACGGTGGGCTTTGTGGTGCTGGTCATCGGCCTGTCCATGGGCTTCAACTCTGGCTACGCTGTCAACCCTGCCAGGGACCTGGGGCCACGCATCTTTACCGCTCTGGCAGGCTGGGGCACCGAAGTCTTCACGTGAGTTCTCTCCCAATCCTCTTTGCCTCTCTGCATGCATCTGGTTCTCTCTTCACCTCTCTGCTTGTCTCTACACCTCTTCACATGTATTCTACCACTATACATCTACCACTCCGTATCCACTTCCTGGTTAGAGGTTTGTACATTATTGATATAAAGATTAAATAAAATGGGAGATGGTGATGATAGATCAAACAGGTAAAAGCAGAGGAGGCAAAGACTAAGAAAAAATATTGCGCAACTTCTTAGATTTGTCTCTCGCTCTCTCTCTTGCTCTCTTTCTCTCAGTGCCAATGAGTGCTGGTTCCTGGTGCCAATCTTCACGCCGTTCCTGGGCGCCATCATTGGTGTGGTGGTCTATCAGCTGATGGTTGGCTTCCATCAGGAGGGAGAGGTTCGCGACAGGAAGAGTCGGGAGGAGAGAGTCAAACTGACCAACATCAACCCAAAGGACGCCCTAAAGGAAGAGATGGTATGAGCCTCATAACCTACCACTCTCCAGCATCCTCCACCCTCCATCACCACCACTACCAGCATCCTATAACCCTATACTCAGCCTCAGTGGGGGTACAGTATGGTCTCCTTGAGGGCCGGTGGGTCCCTTCTCATTCTTGACTGACAGCTGTGTGTCTGTTAGTCTGTAAGGAGACAACTACAGTACGCACACACATTAAGGACCTCAATCTTTCTCTATAGCGTCGCTACAGTATATCTGTCTCTAGGCGTCCTTTGTCTTATATTGTAGCTATACAGTGAGGGGAGAAAGTGAAGACTCAAACACAGAACTATATTAATTCAAAATGTTTGGAAACAATGGAAGTTTATATCCTAGTGTCTTTAGCTCTTCTGTTTGGACAGTATTTTATGTTTTATACTAACATAGTTTTAATGATTGTATTTATATGCTGTAGACAGATAGTACATGTGTCCCGATCCAATGAAATGTGTACGTTTTAGTGAGTCCTTCAATTTCAATGTCAACCAGAGGCGTCATGCCCTAAGATTTTTTTTTGTATGTATTAAAAAAAAAAAAAAATTGAATATTTTCTTGTTATTCATTACTAAACTTAATTTTTAAGCCCACGTTTTATCATTATTATTTATAAAAAGATCTGTAAGCGGTTGCACCACGGTGCAAAGAAATGCTTGGCAGGATGCTACAGTGGGGAAAAAAAGTATTTAGTCAGCCACCAATTGTGCAAGTTCTCCCACTTAAAAAGATGAGAGAGGCCTGTAATTTTCATCATAGGTACACGTCAACTATGACAGACAAATTGAGAAGAAAAAAAATCCAGAAAATCACATTGTAGGATTTTTAATGAATTTATTTGCAAATTATGGTGGAAAATAAGTATTTGGTCACCTACAAACAAGCAAGATTTCTGGCTCTCACAGACCTGTAACTTCTTCTTTAAGAGGCTCCTCTGTCCTCCACTCGTTACCTGTATTAATGGCACCTGTTTGAACTTGTTATCAGTATAAAAGACACCTGTCCACAACCTCAAACAGTCACACTCCAAACTCCACTATGGCCAAGACCAAAGAGCAGGACACCAGAAACAAAATTGTAGACCTTTCACCAGGCTGGGAAGACTGAATCTGCAATAGGTAAGCAGCTTGGTTTGAAGAAATCAACTGTGGGAGCAATTATTAGGAAATGGAAGACATACAAGACCACTGATAATCTCCCTCGATCTGGGGCTCCACGCAAGATCTCACCCCGTGGGGTCAAAATGATCACAAGAACGGTGAGCAAAAATCCCAGAACCACACGGGGGGACCTAGTGAATGACCTACAGAGAGCTGGGACCAAAGTAACAAAGCCTACCATCAGTAACACACTACGCCACCAGGGACTCAAATCCTGCAGTGCCAGACGTGTCCCACTGCTTAAGCCAGTACATGTCCAGGCCCGTCTGAAGTTTGCTAGAGTGCATTTGGATGATCCAGAAGAGGATTGGGAGAATGTCATATGGTCAGATGAAACCAAAATAGAACTTTTTGGTAAAAACTCAACTCGTCGTGTTTGGAGGACAAAGAATGCTGAGTTGCATCCAAAGAACACCATACCTACTGTGAAGCATTGGGGTGGAAACATCATGCTTTGGGGCTGTTTTTCTGCAAAGGGACCAGACGACTGATCCGTGTAAAGGAAAGAATGAATGGGGCCATGTATCGTGAGATTTAGAGTGAAAACCTCCTTCCATCAGCAAGGGCATTGAAGATGAAACGTGGCTGGGTCTTTCAGCATGAAAGCCTCCAGATCTCAACCCCATAGAAAATCTTTGGAGGGAGTTGAAAGTCCGTGTTGCCCAGCGACAGCCCCAAAACATCACTGCTCTAGAGGAGATCTGCATGGAGGAATGGGCCAAAGTACCAGCAACAGTGTGTGAAAACCTTGTGAAGACTTACAGAAAACGTTTGACCTGTGTCATTGCCAACAAAGGGTATATAACAAAGTATTGAGAAACTTAAACCAAATACTTATTTTCCACCATAATTTGCAAATAAATTCATTAAAAATCCTACAATGTGATTTTCTGGATTTTTTTTTCTCATTTTGTCTGTCATAGTTGACGTGTACCTATGATGAAAATTACAGGCCTCTCTCATCTTTTTAAGTTGGAGAACTTGCACAATTGGTGGCTGACTAAATACTTTTTCCCCCCACTGTATATACTCTAGTGTGTGCAGACAGTATCGTCAGTGGAAGAGGAGAGAGAATGTTGAGTGACACACACAGAGTTTGATTTGATTTTAGCTGAGGGGCAGGACTTGCAGGAGGTATGATTGTAAATTAATTTGATCAAGCTATGTAGCCTATTGATTCCTTCTTGATGAATAAATAAAACGGTTTTGTTGTTTCTCTGTAATACTATCCACCTAGCACTTTTATTAACTTGCTTTAGCTAGCCAGCTAGATAGATTCCCAATCTCCCAACCCCATAACTAGCTACCAAGCCATTTCAGGCTATCAATCAAGTTAGAGTAGGTTGTCTATCTTAGCTGACATGCCTGCTGGCAAGGTTGCTATTCTTTAGAAAATAAAAGAAATGCTTTAAATCTTGGGTTATGATACTATATACCAGTGTGGCAGTTGTACTCCTAAGTTATAACAGTTCTTAAAGAATCAGTGTGCATAATTTATAAAAATGGCAATTGAACAGGTAAAGAGGCGTGGTTAGATAACCTATGCAGAACAATAGACATCTTTTTAATTATATTTTTTTTACATAGAATTAGGCGTAATGATTATGGCTCTAGATTGCAGGAAAAAGCAGTTTCAGGTATTTGAAAAATGTTGTTTAGCAGATGTTATTGCGGGTATAGCGAAACGTTGATGTTCCTAGTTCCAACAGTGCAGTAATATCTAATAATACACACAACTCTAAAAGTAAAATAATGGAATTAACCTATTAAGGATCTAACCCTTTTTTTCAATTTTCGCCTAAAATGACATACCTAAATCTAACTGCCTGTAGCTCAGGACCTGAAGAAAGGATATGCATATTCTTGATATCATTTGAAAGGAAACACTTTGAAATTTGTGGAAATGTGAAATTAATGTAGGAGAGTATAACACATTAGATATGGTAAAAGATAATGCAAACAAAAAACATGCGTGTTCTAATTTTTTTTGCTGTTGCATAATCTTTTAAATGCAAGAGAATGGCCAGACAGTGATGTAGCATTCTAGATATAATTTAGATGTTGTCCACCAGATGGCAGCAGTGTGTGTGCAAAGTTCCAGACTGATCCAGTGAAGAATTACATCACTACACAATATTTTGTATCAAGTCTGCCAGGAGTTTTCCCAAATGTGCGGAATTGGTTTTCAAGTACATAACTATAGAGAACAAACAAAAATACTATGGTATTACAAAATTTAAGTTTGCACAATCCCAGAAATGTCATAAATGATGGATCATTAGCTTCCCTACAAAAAAGACACTAACCTTCACACATCTAGATAGCCGGGCGGGGTGGGTGTGGAGTCAGAGGTCAAACTGTAGAACCCAGCTCCTACATTTGAATATAAAAATTGATGTTTCAAACAAAACTACACTACATTTTATCTCTGGGACCCTTAGGACGACAAATCAGAGTAGTATTACTGAATGTATATACATTATTTATATTCAGAGGTGAATGTACCAAACCAGTTGCCGTGGTAAGTGTTTTGTTGTTGTGCACTACCCTCAAATAATAGCATGGTATTTTTTTTTTTGCTGTAATAGCTACTTTAAATTGAACACTGCAGTTAGATTAACAAGAGTTTAAGCTTTCTGCCCATATAAGACATGTCAATGTCCCGGAAAGTTGGCTGTTGTTTAAAACACCATTCTAGTCACATACAGTGAGGGAAAAAAGTATTTGATCCCCTGCTGATTTTGTATATTTGTCCACTGACAAAGACATGATCAGTCTATAATTTTAATGGTAGGTTTATTTGAACAGTGAGAGACAGAATAACAACAACAAAATCCAGAAAACCGTATGTCAAAAATGGTATGAATTGATTAGCATTTTAATGAGGGAAATAAGTATTCGACCCCTCTGCAAAACATGACTTAGTACTTGGTGGCAAAACCCTTGTTGGCAATCACAGAGGTCAGACGTTTCTTGTAGTTGGCCACCAGGTTTGCACACATCTCAGGAGGGATTTTGTCCCACTCCTCTTTGCAGATCTTCTCCAAGTCATTAAGGTTTCGAGCCTGACGTTTGGCAACTCGAACCTTCAGCTCCCTCCACAGATTTTCTATGGGATTAAGGTCTGGAGACTGGCTAGGCCACTCCAGGACCTTAATGTGCTTCTTCTTGAGCCACTCCTTTGTTGCCTTGGCCGTGTGTTTTGGGTCATTGTCATGCTGGAATACCCATCCACGACCCATTTTCAATGCCCTGGCTGAGGGAAGGAGGTTCTCACCCAAGATTTGATGGTACATGGCCCTGTCCATCGTCCCTTTGATGCTGTGAAGTTGTCCTGTCCCCTTAGCAGAAAAACACCCCCAAAGCATAATGTTTCCACCTCCATGTTTGACGGTGGGGATGGTGTTTTTGGGGTCATAGGCAGCATTCCTCCTCCTCCAAACACGGCGAGTTGAGTTGATGCCAAAGAGCTCGATTTTGGTCTCATCTGACCACAACACTTTCACCCAGTTCTCGTCTGAATCATTCAGATGTTCATTGGCAAACTTCAGACGGGCCTGTATATGTGCTTTCTTGAGCAGGGGGACCTTGCGGGTGCTGCAGGATTTCAGTCCTTCACGGCGTAGTGTGTTACCAATTGTTTTCTTGGTGACTATGGTCCCAGCTGCCTTGAGATCATTAACAAGATCCTCCCGTGTAGTTCTGGGCTGATTCCGCTCCGTTCTTATGATCATTGCAACTCCACGAGGTGAGATCTTGCATGGAGCCCCAGGCCGAGGGAGATTGACAGTTATTTTGTGTTTCTTCCATTTGCGAATAATCGCACAA